CGAGCACAGCCACGGGGGGCACCCGCGGCATTCCTCGCGGCACTCTCAGCACCATCCTGCTCCTCCTGCTGCCTCTACTCCTGCTCGACCTGCAGTGATTGGCAAGGGAAAGGAGAAGAAGGCCTGATCCCGCGTTATGTCATAAGTGCCTCAAGGAGCAACAGGTCGATCAACAATCCCGGGATAGATGCATATCCTGATCAGTGGCTCGAACACAATGACAGGATAGGGGGATGCACGGTGGTACATGGCTGAATCTGTGTGTTCAGACTACGGTGAAGGAGGATTCTAATTGGGGCGCAGTTAGCAACTAAGGAAGTGACAGGGTTGCTGGCCAGTGCTCATATTTGGGGTGAGGCCCAGATGATGACTAATTCAGGGGAGACGTTGGCGGGAGGCCTCATTTGCAATCCGTGCCCGTTTTTGTTTTTGCGGGACTCCTCTTTATCCTCACGAACTGGGGAGCGGCCTGGGAAACAGGGAAAAACACCAGCACAGCACAGACCCCAGATGATAAGTTAGAGCCCCCGTAGCTTTCAGCGATCTGGGGAAAAGCCCAGGACGCCAGGCCGGCAGAGCGACGGAGCGCTCGCACGTCGCGTTTCAGGAGCCTCCGAAGCTGAAGCCGGGATACTACCTGGGCATGTGGACGTGAGCTCCGCGTCCGGCCTCTGGCTGGCGTTTTGGTGCGATCTGAGCGAAGACCCCGCGTTGGGGGAAACAAATAAAAACCCAGTGGCATGGAGCCAAGCAGCGCTGTGAGCTCTGCCAGGAAAAAGTTGGGAGGCAGGATTGCGCTGACGCATGAGCGTTCTGGCGCCCTGCGGTGCCGTTGCAGCTCCCAAAGGGAGTGCACATGAGGGACCATCATTCCATGCACCGAAGGTGCCATGGCTCGTGGGCTCTTTTGGGGACGTGCGGCGGTCGGCAGACCCTTGCACGCAAGACAGAGATTTGGCATCGCTTGCCTTGAAGGTTCGCCCTGTTTTAAACCAGCACCCGTATTGGCAGCCAGCCAATATGGAACTTGCTACCTCCACCTCTTCATTATTTTTGAAGAAAGCAAGGGCTGCCGAGGCACCAATCTTCAAAAACATGTGGTGAGCATGAATTAAGCCCCGTCGGTAACAAACCTTGCCTCGCAGCCCAGAAGTTTTCGTTGTCTTGCAACCAAGCCCGCTTGACGGGTGGAACGGCCAAGGCCGTGTGGGCTGAAAAGCTCTGGTAGATTCTGAGAGCTTCCCGAGCCAGTGCCGGCAGAGCTTACTGCAACTTGGGCGCCGGTCTCGGGTGTTAATGAAGTGTCCCCCCGGTCTTGGCAGGCTTAGTGAAGGTGGCTTGATGGCCGGCTTGACATGCAGTGGGAAAAACCGGAGATCCTCGGAATGGGCTGTGAGACCCAAGGTTGTTCACACCATTTGGGAGGAACGGTGGCTGCGCAGTGGGTGGATGCCAAGCAGCTTTGTGTTGCTTTCCTTTTTGGCTCCAGGACCAGTCAGAAGGGATGCCAGCCCATGAAAACAAAGGACTCGCATAGGTCAGCAAGGTGACGCAAAAAGGCTCAGACTCAGAACTGTAACACCAACACGTAGCACCTGCCGCCCCGTCGGGCGATCGTTTGGCCCCTTGGCACATGTGATGCCATGCGCGCACACCTGTCTGACTTGCAGATGCTCAGGCCAGTCATGTCGTACATGAGCAAAATCTCGGCCGCGGCACAACTGGCAGCCGCCTTGGATGCGGGCTGTGCACTTATAACATCCTTAAGGGGCCACAGCTTTTCACAATGGTTGCAAGACCTTTACTCGGCGATTCCAGCCATGCTCTTAGACTTTAATTAGACATGTAGAGTGTAGAGGGATTTTTTGATACATCACGCAAGGGATCAACAAACCACAAACTCCAGTGTAATTCTAGTCATTGATCTTGTCAACTTGAGAGCAACCAAGGTCCATGAGGATGAGTTCCGGCGAATGCTCGAACCCGGACGCAAGAAGCACGACAAGCTGATCGGGAGGCCTCATTTGCGGGGAGCGCGCCTGTATTGGCTCCCGCTGGGCCGTATGAATTTGGCCGCGGCAAATTTGGGAGCAAAGGATGAAGAGTACAGTCGATCAAGCAGAGCAAGCCCGCCATTTGTTTATTGGCACCTCATGTAGAAACATCCAGGCTCAACATAACAAATTTTCAACGTGCATGGTACATGGCTCGAGCGAGTGCCTCGGGAGCTGCAGGCTGCCGAAAGGGCAGGAGTCGCCCTTCGGAGACTTCCCGCCTGACTACACGAGGCCTGAAGATACCACCAAGAGGCCCGAGTGCTGGTTTTGCCAAGTTAGGCGTTTCGCAGGCTCCGAGCTCGTGAAACATTGGCTTGGGCGTGGGACGCCATGTTCTCCCACCTGGGGTGGCTGTTTTCCATTTCCGCCAAGCACATCAATCCCGCTGATGACGAAAACAGCTCGCCCGGTGGCGAAGGGTTCAGTCGCATCTCGTGAGGTCGCCGGCTCTGCGATTGCTGGGCACGGCGACCTTGACTCCGAGGACCACCCTGGAGCAGGCCGAACTCGGCCCCGCGCGCGCGTGAGTTCGGAATCAGCTGGTTTTGCGGGGAAGCCACTCCTGGGCGTTATGTTGTTTGGTTGGCTGGCCAGCTGGCTGGCGTTATGTTGGTTGTTGGTTTGTTAGCCTGCGCTATGCAGATTCAGGCGCTGCCGACTGCACGAAGCCTTGGAGCCAAGACCCCGCGCACAGCCCGGGATACGAGGCGGGATATTTTGGGGTGTGGGTGACGGCTCCACAGCTTTGCAGTTCCTGAACTGGATGGACATCTATGAACAACCGAACGGTGAACCCAATGCATGTTCTGATATTTGCCTTTCTTTTCTCTTCTTTTCTTGTCATTTCATTCATGCATGCATGCATTCATTCATCCATCCATCCATACATGCATTCATTTATTCATTCATTCATTTATTCCATTCCATCCCATCCATCCCATCCATCCCATCCATCCCATCCCCCATCCCATCCCATCCATCCCATCCCATCCCATCCCATCCCATCCATCCCATCCCCCATCCCCCATCCCATCCCATCCCATCCCATCCCATCCCATCCCATCCCATCCCATCCCATCCCATCCCATCCCATCCCATCCCATCCCATCCCATCCCATCCCTTCATTCATTCATTCATTCATTCATTCATTCATTCATTCATTCATTCATTCATTCATTCATTCATTCATTCATTCATTCATTCATTTATTCATTCTCTATCATTTTCAGTTCATTACCTTTCATTTGAGGTAATTTGTAAACAACATACAACAGTAAGTTCCTTTCATTTCAGTGGGCAACCTGCCCTTGAGAAGTTGAAGAGGGGCGCTGAAAGGAGATGACTTGTGAGGGTCCATTGTCCATGAGTCAAGTCACTTGGATCCTCGGAGCTTCGCAGGTTGACGCCACGAGACGTGCGGCTCTCCCCGAGGGAGGCATCCTTCGCCACACCAAGGAGCCTAGAGAGGCCAAGGGGCGCATGCCACAAGATCAAGCCTTTGATTGACATAGATGGTTTTTGCCCTGCCGGTTTTGGAGACTGGACTACGCAAACTGGAGCTCAGCCTGCTTGCTGTCTCGCCAGGAACACTCCGAAGGGCCCTTGTTTTCGTTTGCTCGTTTTCTTGGAGCCTGGGACCAGGCAGTCGAATGAGGAACACAATGCTGTTCAGCAACTTGGTGTCACACGGAGAGGTCCTTGATGCTTCCAATTGCTGTATCTCGGCTGTAGATTAAGACGTTCCCACTGTGCAGTATGGGTGTGCAATCCCCGCACGCAACATTGTTCTGGGAATTTGTATGAGCACCTTCTGCTGCTTGTCAATTGCGCCCTGCAAGGGAAGAAGGCATGTTATTTTTCCACTCGTTGCCTATTTTCCGAGATCCCAATGCCACATATTTCCGCATTTCCTTAGATTTTGGATGCCGTGTTCAAGGTGTTGCCTGTTTCAGCTTTGTAAGTCTCAGCAACTTCCCTTGAGCTGATCACTTGGCTGACTCTGGCAAAACACGAAGCCTCTCGCGCTTTGTCCGGCCAGTTCTGCTCCGCCAGCGGCGGGTGCCTTCAAGAGGCGGTTTGGGATTTGGGCTTTGGGCTCCATGAAAGCAGAGTTCCCAATTTCACCGCCACATTTTTGTTGGGTTCTCCACTGCTCAAACGATTCATGAGGCTAAGATGAGCTGCCAGGCGACCAATCGAGCCCTCAGAGTTCCGGAGATTCTACGACAGGAACGACCTTCCCATTCAGGCGGGGGGAAAGGCAAGAAATTGAAGAAGCGCCATAACTGGGAGCGGCCTGAAGTCAGGGGACAGCCTGTGGGAATGGTTCTTAGTGTTTTTGTTGCTGCTGCGCCCCAAAGGAAAGGCCGTTTTTTCGGCGTTTTTTTGCCAGAAAAGGCCAAGCAACTTCTGTTTTGCTGTAGTCTACATTGTTCCAAAGGCTTTTCTTGGTCCCCAAGACCCCAAGCCGAGAAAGGCTTCCGCAAGCTTCCGCGCCCGTTGAACACGTGTATTGCCAAGAAGTTTTGGCGGCCGCCTGTGGCCGAATCGATATTCTGGTCCCCGGGCGGCCAGACACGTTGCTTTCGTTGATTTGTTTGTTCCTTCCGTTGCGCTGGAGCTGTACCCGGCCGGGCAGATCATGCACACTGGCACCCAGAACCGAATCGCCTGGAAGGCGGGGGGGGGGGACCTTTGGTGAGCTGGAGCACGAGGCACTTGGTGCTTGATCGAGGCCAAAACGCCTGAGGTTCAACATCTTGGTACAAACTGCAGCAGGATCCTGGTGTTTGTGGCGCAGGTGGATGTTGAGAAGTTGGACTATCACCACTACCTCCCCATCTTCTTCGATGGGTTCGCGGCCCAGCTTTTCCAGAGCAAAGCCACGATCTTTGTGTCAGGCTGCGTGAGAAAGAGGAGCCGTACCGGTTCTTTGCGGTGGAGGGCGTCTACAATCTCCTGGAGAAGGCCTGTGCCAACATACACAGCTCTCAACCAACAGCCCTCAACCAGGCTCCAACAGATATTTGTAAGCAGAATCAGGTTGACAGACCACGCGATGCAGTGATGTGTGAGAAGGCACCAGAGATGTCTGCGAAGTTTCATCCGAAGAGACATCGGCTTTCCTATCTGGTCCATCAACAGTGTTGAGGTATGGATGGCTCAAACCCATAGTCTTTTTTCGCTTTGATGTAAACAACAAGAACGAGCGACGGAAACAAACAGAGAACCAACAGCACACACACACACACAAACGCCCAGATCTTTGACGTGTTGATTCATCTACTCGATAGAATGCCCTATGCAGACCACAATGTATGCGAGCAGCTCACAATTTTGCAGATTCAACATCCACGATCATGGGCCTTGAAGGGATTGTACACCAGCAGGAACGTTTGGCAATGGACTGCCGGTGTGAGCCCTTTTGCTGTAGACCTTCATGAACTAAACGCAGCATGGACTTTGAGCTGGCGACCCAAAGGGTGGGGACGCCTTTAGTCTTTGCGGCCCGCGAGGGTGGATCCAAGATTCTGCCGGTGGTGCCGCAGCTCATCATCCCCATCAAGAAAGCCCTGGCCTCGAGCGAGGGCGCAGAGCGCCGAGTCGCAGTCGCCAGCGCCGTCCGCCTCGTGTTCTTCTCCCTTTCAAGGGCAAGCCACGTCAAATAGCAAGAGAACCAGGAAAGGGGGGGGGCAAGGGAGTGAGTCTTTTGGGCCCAATGGTTCTCAAAAGAGGCAGATTGTTGAGAGTTGAAGCATGCCAAGAACTGCTTGAGTTGTCTGCTGCACGTCCGAGGCGCTAAACACGCGTTGCCGGCTGGTTTGGAATTCGGAGGCCAAGTTAGCGTTGGAGCAAAAGATTGTGATGCTAGCTGGCCTTGCAGTTTGGCCAGCCTGTGAACGCTAGTTCAGCAGTTGGGCATTTGGAACGACTCAACTGGCCCAGGTGCTTGACGTACCGTCGACATTCAGTTTTCCTGTTTATCCCGTGGCTTTGGGCATGAGGAAACTAGTGAGCGTGTCTCTCTTTATGTCCCTTCGAGTGAGTGAGAGGCTGGCCACCTGTATTTGTGATGCTGTGACCCTGTTGACATGATCCATGCATGACAGGAGGGATACCGAAGTTATGGTCACAACCATGAAGGCCTGGCCGCGATGCGACTTGTCACTTGCTCACCGGAGTAGAAACACTCGAAGAGCCTGCAGCCAGTCATCCCACCCCTCGATCGACAGTTTTGTTGAGCTCGGGGTTCCATTGGCCCTGTTGAAGGTGCCTGTTCCAAGTGATACCTCTCCAGCTTTTGTAGGTTTTTGAACTTGTGTTTCGCAATGGGGCTACCGACTTGTGAGGAATGGCCAGTTTGCTGGGCTTCGAAATCTCCATGCGTGCAGGTGCTGCAGACGTTGGTGCTCTCCGCAGAGATGGTGGGAGAGGCCTGGGCACCGCTTCGCGCCTTCGCGCCTTCGCGCCTTCGCGCCGTCGCGCCGTCGCGCCTTCGCGCCTTCGCGCCTTCGTGTTTTTGTTTCATTTCTGAGGCGCTTGTGCCGTACTACCGGCAGATTCTACCAGTGACCCCCAGGTTCGGCCTCCGCGCCAAAGCCAGGCCCCTCAAAACGGGGCTTGCTGTGGATTCGAGGGCTCGAGATGAGCTGGAAGTTCTTGCGGTTGTTGAAGAACCCGAGCTCTCGCGCACTTTTCCGCGCCAACGCCCGTGCCCCGCTCCCCCACTTAGTGGACCTTGCTGGAGAGGTACTGAACATCTTCAAGTCCGCCACAAAGAGTACCTTCGACCAGATGGCAGGGGCCCAAAGCAGCCGGTGCGGTTCGTCGAAGAGACGTTGGGTATAGCAACGGACTTGGAGTCAGTCTCTGGTGGGGCAATGGTTTGATTCCACTTTGTGTCAGACCTTCTTCCTACTTTGATCTTCTGCCCTCACTCTCACTCCTCACTCTCACTCGCTCTCACTCACTCTTCCTCTCTTCCTCTCTTTCTCTCTTTCTCTCTTTCTCTCTTTCTCTCTTTCTCTCTTTCTCTCTTTCTCTCTTTCTCTCTTTCTCTCTTTCTCTCTTTCTCTCTTTCTCTCTTTCTCTCTTTCTCTCTTTCTCTCTTTCTCTCTTTCTTTCTTTCTTTCTTTCTTTCTTCTTCCTTCCTTCCTTCCTTCCTTCCTTTCTTTCTTTCTTTCTTTCTTTCTTTCTTTCTTTCTTTCTTTCTTTCTTTCTTTCTTTCTCTCTTTCTTTCTTTCTTGCTCTCTTTCTCTCTTTGTTTCTTTGTCTCTTTCGTTCTTTGTCTCTTTCTTTCTTTCTTTCTTTCTTTATTTCTTTCTTTCTTTCTTTCTTTCTTTCTTTCTTTCTTTCTTTCTTTCTTTTTCTCTTTTTCCCTTTTTCTCTTCTTTTCTCTTTTTTTCCTTCTCTCCTTCTCTCTTTCTCTCTTTCTCTCTTTCTCTCTTTCTCTCTTTCTCTCTTTCTCTCTTTCTCTCTTTCTCTCTTTCTCTCTTTCTCTCTTTCTCTCTTTCTCTCTTTCTCTCTTTCTCTCTTTCTCTCTTTCTCTCTTTCTTTCTTTCTTTCTTTCTTTGTTTGTTTGTTTGTTTGTTTGTTTGTTTGTGTCTTTGTTTCTTTGTTTCTTTGTCTTTTTCTCAATTTTCCCCTTTTTGTTTTTGTTCCTTTCTGTCTTTAACTTTTTACTCTTTCTCTCTTTCTCTTTTTCTCTCTTTTTCCTTCCTTCCTCTTTCTCTCTTTCTCGTTGTTTGTTTCTTTCGCTCTGCCTCCCTCCCTCCCTCCGCTCCTCCCCTCCCCTCCCCTCCCCTCCCTCCCTCCCTCCCTCCCTCCCTCCCCTCCCTCCCCTCCCTCCCCTCCCCTCCCTTCCCCTCCCCTCTCGCCCCTCCCTCGCTCGCTCGCTCGCTCGCTCGCTCTCGCTCTCGCTCTCGCTCTCTCTCTCTCTCTCTCTCTCTCTCTCTCTCTCTCTCTCTCTCTCTCTCTCTCTCTCTCTTTCTCTCTCTCTCTCTCTCTGACAACTGACTGCGGATGGATGCTATGCAGCCTAGGATTACTCGCAGCGGAAGCGGATGGACATCGGAGCCCTCATCGATGAGACTCTGGAGCGGCTGGAGGGTACCGGGGAGCTTGACCCGCCTTCTTGTGAACGGCCTGCGGTACATTTGTACATCTGACACTCGCAGACTCGCAGACATGCTGAGAATGTCACACAGAAGCTTTGTGAAAGGAAATCCTGGAAACTCATGGCGGAGAGGATGCCTTCATCAACATCAAGTGACCTGTGCTCAATTGCCTTAGCCCTGTAACTTGCTCTCTGGGCTGGCTGCATGCTCCGGATGTGTTGTTTGGGTCCTCTCCTGGTCCGCAACCGCAGTTTTTGGACACCACCAGCGAGTGAAGAGAAGGGAAAGAGCAATGACGAGATGAGAAGAAAGGAGCAGAGAATATCAGACGAGAGAACAAGGGCAGGAGAACAAGAGAATGGTTTCAGAAAGGGAGTCCGGTCGCAGGTACATGGTACCGACTTACGAGTCGTGCGTCTCTGTGTGAGGCCGGAGAGCGTAGACTGGCTTGAGCCTGTGAGGGGTTGAGTCTGAAGGTCGCCCAAGGAGCGGGTTGAGGCGCTTGAGCTGAAAGAAGCCCCTTGGCGGCTCAAAAGTTTGTGGATGTGCATAGAATCCTTGTGCTTTAGGGTGTGTGAACAATTTTCAGAAAGTGTGCCAGTGAACGCCGACTTGTTTGTCGGGACTGTCTTTTATTGGAGGTACTGGCATTGCTTTTGCCGGATGTAGCCGCAAGGCTGACAAGGCTAACCCTATCTACCAAGAATACCACATTTTGCAAGATTGGTACAAGCTAAGCAGCTAAGCACACTTATCAATGTATGAACACACACACACAACACAACAACATCGTACATATAGGTCGTCGGTAAGCGTCAAAGTCAGTTTTAGGAGCTCAACCAGTCTGATCATGTGACTGTCTTCTATGACGCTGTCGGGTGAAGAAACAGCTATTAGCAACCCGCCAAGCACACCTACAGCAACGTCAGCCAGGGACGCGATTTGTGGACAACGCACAGCCGCCCGTTGAGAGCTGCAACATGTGCAATTTGGTGATGGTGGTGGGGGGGGGGGGGGTATTCTGGATTGCCATGATAAGAAGGAGCGTTTGCCCGCGGTTGAAGGGGCTTATAAAGTACTTGATGGCATTCCGATGAAGCCAGGAAAGGTACTTGAAGCGAACTTCATATTGTTGTGTGTGCGTAAGATAAGCTTTCTCTCTCTCTCTCTCTCTGTCTCTCTCTCTCTCTCTGTGTTTCTCTCTCTCTCTCTCTCTTCACGCTACAAGTCCTTTGGTCTTTCGCAATGTCAGATGACAGCCATGTTGAACTCCCACTGAGATTGATAGAAGGCCGATTTGCCTCAAGCGGATCAGAGGCATTGATGGCCCCTTTGATGAGACCAATGCTGTCCGAACTTGTTGAATACCCTGTCCATGTTTTTTGAGCCAAGAAATCAAGGGCGTCACGGGATTTTTGCTTCCCAGACTGTCCGGGCACTTCGGCCCAGGCCGGCGCTGCAAGTTAAGGGGCCACGGGACGCCTTTTGGGAGACCCAAAGGCAGGATGCCAGGGCACGCTTCAAACGAGATCGGCCAAGACAGCTCAAAGGAGCTCCGATTTCGGACTGGGCTTGTGTAAAATGCGGCAGAGCAACTGTTCGGCGCTTTGCATTGACTTCACCAAGTTTGTTGCTTAAGAAGATGCAGGCAGGAAGGTCTTGGCCGCTGCAAGTGAATCGCGAGCTTCATTTTGAGAGAGGAGCTGGCTGGGGCGAAAATCGCCCACGGCCTAGCCCACTTTCCAATGACAGGGAGCAGCCTTTTTTTCCAATGAGGGATGATTCAGTCCTTGCCTGCTTGAAGGTGCTTACAGCCAGAAGGAGCCATGTACGCTCGTGTTCGATGAGTGACCTGTCCCTGTCATTATCTCTCAGCCGGCTGGAGCTTGGAGCTGCGATCCTTGCCGAGCGCGAGGAAACCCGCCTTGAGCTGTTGGTTTTATCGCCTGGAGCTTTTGCCCGCTCAGATTGGCGTCTCTCCAAGAGGTGGCCAGGTTGTTAAGTGTAGCCACAAATCAAGCTATTTGCATCTTTTGTGCCCTTTGGTCGGCTTGTAACGACAGTGGCTGCCGGGAACCCGGTTCACAAGGGCAAGCAGTTAGGTGGGCGTTTGTGTGTTTGTGTGGTGTGTGCTCACTTTGGTGTTTGCATGCGGGATGTTTAGTATCACAAAGCACACATTGTGCGATATGACACTGAATCGTGAGCCATGAATAGGCTCAGCAGGATTGAAGATTAGATGGATATGATGAACGACACGATTGTGGCAAAACACTGGAAGTGCGGAATGCGAGCTTCAACTATTGCTCACACACGAATGCAAAACGAAGCAACAAAAACGAATAAGTGTTGTCCAGCTGTGAAAGACACTACTATGACCAGGCTTTTGCTTCCATCCTGCAGACACAACACGGAAACTCATTTGTTGCCTTTTCTTGCAGCCGCCTCGTGGAACCTGGTTGTGTGCAGTATTCGAGCAGTTCAATACCACAAACGAGTACCCTCATGTGCAGCGTTCGTTTGCAGCTCCTGCCCCTGGGCTGGATGGCCGAGTCTCCTTGATGGCTCGCTTGGCATGTTTGATTGAGCTCGCTCCAGCCTCGAGTGATGGATGCAAGCTATGCACATCAGCCTGCCTTCTGGCCACTGACGCTTTGCGCAAGCCCCACCCTTGCCACGGCAGGTTCATGCCTTGGAGGACGGTCGGAGTGACTGGTGCAGGCATGTAGTGCAAGCCTCATGCAGGTAGCGCTGTGATTCGCAAGTTAGTAAGGGATAATGCGCGCTTCCTCGCATTTCCCAGTGTTTGGATCAAAGTGATTGAAACGGGATAATAAATGATAAGGCGGAGGACGATATCACCTGGGCTGCACATCTCGTATTTTCTGGTGTGGTAGCGGGGTTGGGCCACTTTACGGCACGAGTGCGATTCAGTCGACTGGGTTTAGTCTGACTGCCGGCACATTGCCACTGACAGTACTGGTTTCAGGGCTGGATCAAGTTTGCCACGAAGATGCAGCGGTTTTGCGTACACATGCATGCCTGCTGGTTTGTTTGAGCATGCAGGTCCAATCACATCGCCCATGCAGTGAGCGACATGACTTTTCATCGCGCGCACGCAAATCAGCAATCAGTGTCTCCGATGAGCGACACGGGGTGGACAAGGATATGGACATCCATGGGTGTTTTCCGCCCCAGGACTTTGCTCCAAGCATCAGGATCCGCAGCACAAACGGGAAGGGCTTGGGCGTCAAAAGTGATAATTCGGGGTGGCAGAAGGATCAATTCCCAGATTCCCTTCTAAGAACTTCTTGGGCCTTGCAACACGATTGACACTTTGATCGCATGCATATAAAGTAAGCATTGGTGCCTTCCTTCAAAGTCACGGATTTGCTTGCCCATTCTTTGCGTGGTAGGGAAGGATTGACTCTATTCACACTCCTGATAGTCCCTTGACAGGGACAACAACAAATGCATCTACTCAAGCCAAGTATCAACAGCAACAGCATGGGTTCTTACCTGCAAGAATGAAAGGACGATGCAAGGCTCCTCTTGGACTTTCTGTACCCAGCCCGCTACTTCAGCCAACATGCTTTGGTGTGGATTCAATTTTCTGTGCCAACGACCTTTCATGTTCTGTTTGCTCGGCCTGGCGCAGGAGCCCCACATCCTTCTATGTGGACTGCAGGCTTTACAGGCCCACTTACGAGGAGGCCTCCCGACTTCCTGGGTCGAGTTTTCTCAACACGTCAACCTACGAAAACAAAACTGTCGCAATGGGTTGTGAACCCGTTGCGAACACATGTATGAAGGATAGTCTCGTGAATGTCAGACAGGGCGGAAAGTCCTTGCTCAGTCATTCCCCGCACTGACGTTTGTGTTTGTGAGCCGTTGCTGCTGATCTGTGTGGCAGCCAGTTTCTTCTTTGTGGATGGTCAGACCAAGGCAAGATACAAGAAACTAGTGCGCCCGTAGATACAGCACCCGCTCATAATCTAGCTTTGAAGGCGAGAAGTAGATTTCACAGGCGATCTCATTCCGTGCTGCCCGCCTTCGCATTGCCAGGCTGAGTTTTACCGGCGCTCCCTCGGTACGCGCCGCGCTTCAGGGCTTTGCACCCCTCATCGAGAACTGCCTTGGCCACCTTGGAGGGTTCTACTGGTCAAAGAGGGAATTGGTCGCAAGTCAAAGGTTCTGAGTGCTGCAATGTGGATTTATAGGGGATTCATGCCAGGGCGTTTGCCGATGTCTTCAACTGCGGCCGTACAGGAGGGTTCCCATGAGTCATGGCAAGTAGCGAAGAAGGGCAACTTAGTTGCGTGCGGTTTGGCTCCTGGTCGCTCGACAGTCAGAAGAATATGTTCGCTTGTGGTACTCCGTTGCAGCTTTGATCTCAAAGCTGCACACAACCGCTGCGAGAGAAAACACAAGGCGGCAAAGAAGGGGCTGAGAATATCATTCGGACCGAACACCAAGCAAAACCCAGAGCGCAATGCAATCACATCTGTCATTTCTCTTGTGTGGACGTTAAGACAGACAGCAACGCAAAGCATCAAGCTGCAAGATGACAAGGCCTAGTTGGCATGTTCGAAGAGGCCTAAGCAGACACTTTGGGTATCGGTTTCGGATTTTTGGCCTTTGAGCAAGCTGTTTCTCATTCGAAAGGTGCAGGCCATGTATGGCGAGCGGCGACGACTCGGTGGTCGCGCTGCTGCAGCGTCTCGCGCGGGCACTGGGAGCGCGGAATGCGCGGAAGGGCTGGGAGGTGCTGCTGAGCCGCGAGAAGAGGGAGCAGGCGGGGCGGGAATTCGGAAGGGGCAGGGAGTTGGGGTTTGGGATGTGGGGTTGGCGGTTGGAGCTTTTTTTGGGGGGCATTTGGTGGCTATGGATAGGAGGACAGGTCGATGGGAGGCGCCAGGTTGGTCTCGCTTCAGGTGCCCTGCGCCGAGCTCTTGGCGTGCTGCGTCTGGGACCTGCGCCGCGCTGAGCGCCCTGCGGGCGCGGAAGCCCTGCAGCTGCTGGCGGCGCGGCTCGACGGCGCGGTGGAGGAGACGCTGAAGGCGCGGTGGGGGGGGGGGGATTTGGGGGCTTTGGGGGCTTTGGGGGGTTTGGGGGTTTTGTGGCGTTTGGTCAGGTGCCAATGCAATGGGGTGCAGACACCATTTGAATCCTTGATCTGGAAAGAAGGACCCGAGAATGGGAAATCCGAAACAAGCTTTGGAGGCAAGTGCCAACGGCATGCATTCAATTCAACATGGCACACACACACACACACATTGATCTAGGCAAGCAATGTCGTGTCAAGACGCCTCGGCCTCTTAGGATCATCTTTCGTCTCCCTACCCTGAAATGTAAGGCTTTTTCTGCCTGCTCCTTGGCAGCTCGGGAGTGAACTTTCCAGCTTTTCCAACTGCGACACCTGGGCTTCTTTCACAGATCCAAGGTGCTTCTCAAATTTTGTCCCCCTAAAAAGGCAAGGCTTGCCTGTTGGTAACCCGGAGAAATCATCCTTTATTCTGCGTTCTTTTCTCCAAAAGGTGAAGCCCCACTTGGCCCCAGAAAATTCCGGGGCTTTCCGAAAGCCAGACAGAGGCGCCCCCCGTTGCCAGGTGCTGCTGCTGCTGGCGGAGCCGGGGAAGGATCCCGGGCTGGGCGCCGTGAGCCGGGAGCTACTCTTCGCCGCGGGGCGCACCTCCAGCAGCCACCGCCCTGGGACCTTCTTCGAGGCGGGGGCTGACGCCTCGGGGAAACTTCCGTGGAGCCCCCAGGTGTGCAGCCTGGAAACTAAGCCCTTAGGAGCTCTTGCAGCTCCTTCAGAGGGTTGAGACTACATGGAAATAGGCTATACAAGCCTTGGGGCTGCTTTCCTGTCAGGCTTGTCTTGTTCTCGTGAGACCTGCTATGAGCAGCTCCTGGTCTTTATGTAGGAAACAAGGCAGCTCAAGCCTCTCACATAGCTCACGGCTCGGGGTCTATGCCATCTGTCTTCTGCTTGCTCTTCTGCTCCCTCTTTGAACGTTGCTATTTGGTGTGCTGTGAGACATGACTCGACACCTTGATTCCTGTTGAGATGGGAACAGAAGGGAATGGGCAGGCATTGTGTTTTTTGGAAGGACCCGCAGGTCACCGTCCATTGGCCTGGACACATGGGGTTGAGGCGTTTGAGGCAGTTGTTTCATGTTTCCAGGAGTCGCGTCAGCAGCTCCGGCCCTGTGAGCGGCACTTCGCGTTGGGCCGCCCCCTAGCGGAGCAGGTGCTGTTGCAGGCGGCACCGTCAGTGACGGACGTGGGGCCGCGGGAGCGAGTGCTGTGGGACCCGGCAGAAGTGCAGAAGTCGGGGTTTCTGGAAGTTGCAAAAGAAGCAGAAGGCAAGGAACACCAGAAGCAGAAGGGCAAGGGCCAAAATGAGGGTGAGTCGCCAATGGTCAGCCCTGGCACACCCACCACCGCCTCTGGCTCCGGCTCTCCCCGCGCGGCGTCTCGTCCCTCTCGAGCCGCCCTGGGCCTTCGCTCGGTGCCGCTGGCGGAGCTGTGGCGCAGCGACTGCCGCGCGCTGGAGCTGCGGGGCAGCTGGGAGGCGCCCCGGCCTGTGGCCGACCCCCGCGGAGCCTGGCTGGCGCTCTACGGGATCCCCTCGCGATCCTTCCAGGCGAGAGTAAGCACAGTGACCAAGAATCACTTTGATTCTCAACAGGCACAGCCTTTTTTTAATATCGTTTTTTTTTTTTGGTGCGCATTTTAGCAGGCCTTTGCTTGCCCCTTAGGTGAAAGGGGCACGGGTGCTCTGCCGAGCCCGGTGTCGGATGCTCGAGGACTGGGCGGCCTTTTGCAGCCGCTGCCTCAACCTTCGCGCGCAGATTGCCGCGCTGGGCGACTGCGAGGGGTTGACGGCGCAGGCCTTGGCAGCGGTGCTGCGGGAGATCCTCGGCGCCTTCGACCAGGAGCCCGCAGAGTTCAGTCAGACTAGCGACTTGAGTGGGGTTGATATATGACTCATATGACTGATCTGAATTGAATAGGGGCCTTCCTGGCAAGATACAGGTTTTGCACCATGTCTCCAAAGGCATCTTCACAGGCGGTCAGGTGACGAAATTCCCTGGGGGAGGGGTATGTGAGCCAGGGCTCCTTGGAGGCAGTGAAAAGGGCCGCCATGCCCCGCGCCGTTGCCGGTTGAAACCAAACCAATGTCTTTGAAACAAGAGCTGATCATCAAGGCAAACGTGCCAAGATGAGCTGATCTCAGTCAAGTCATATCAGTCCATCCTGGCTTCCCGAAGGCGGGACAGAGGCTTGACGTGTCTAGCGGACAAGTACGCGATCGAAGGGGATAGGAACTGCCCCTGACGTCTTCAGCTTGTGCTACACCTGCCATTTGGCCAGCATCATCACAAACAGTCGCACTTCTTCACTTGGAAAGAGTTTGCCGAGACCGAGTAGTTACGCTATACAACCTTGCTAAGATATAATTCAGCTATGACTGTATGCTATTACAATACATCTCAAATGCATCTTCTTACAATGCTTGGTTGCTCGATATATTATTGGTAGAATCATGGTGATCGATGATCCACTACTCAGACAAACTCATGTTACCGCGATTTGATCCAGATGGATTTTCATGGTGGAAGATCAAACCCCGTGATTATACGTTCGAGCCTCCTGAGCCAGTCAGTTCTTTAGTTTGCTGAAACAATGGCGTTTCGCAGGAATTGCCGTTTTGTGCTTGAGGAAAGATGAACAATGTAGTCTTCTCAAGATGCACATCAGACAGGTGTAGTTGTTTCCTTATTTCAAATGATCGAACTAGTAAGTCATCAGCAACAAAGGAGCTAAGTAAAGCATATCACGGCAAGATCCAACAGATAGATTCCTGAGCCCCGCAGCTTCTGTCCAAACCGCGGCAAAGTGAGACTTAGGAGATCGCGCAAGAGAGCGCGGGCTTCATCCGGCTGTGGGTGAAGGCGCAGAGGTGGCTGCGGCGCCTTCAGCCAGTGCTCGCGCTGTGCTCCAGGGACCTGGCCAAGATGTCCGGCCTTGAGCTGTTGCTTGTCTCAATCGCGTGGAATTGGGTCTTAAACCAGAAGTGTTTCAAATGGGTGTATGTATATATATATATATGAACAAATAGTCGAAACTATATGAACATATATAAATATGGAGTACATATAGATAGATGGATGGATAGATAGATAGATAGATAGATAGATAGATAGATAGATAGATAGATTAGATGAGATCAGATTAAATTAGACTAGATTAGATTAGATTGCATTAGATGAAACTAGATATAGGATAGATAGTTCGACAGATAGATAGATGAATAGATAGATATATGGATAGATGGATGGATAGATCGATCGATAGATAGATGAAGAGATGAGACAAACAGACAGACTAGATATATGAGATAGACTAGATAGAGTACATGAGATATATTAGCTTAGATAGATAGTAGATAGATAGATAGATGGATGGATGGATGGATGGATGGATGGATAGATGGATAGATGGGTACTGGACCCATGTGAATGGCACCAAAGGACCAGGGTCCAACAGAAGAGATGGCCGTTGTTGGGAAGGCGTTGTGTGCTGGCAGGGGAATGCCCTTTCCTTTCCAGTCTGCTCAATGGCCAGCGGGCGCATGGGCACTTCCGCTTGAGGTTGGACCACGTCTTCCGGGCCTGCCAAAGTCATCAGGCCTCAGCCTGGACGCTGCAGGCGTGTGGCCGCGTGCTGGAGTCAAAGAGCCGCCAGGCGCGTGGTCAGGTTCCGCCTTGTAGTTGGCCAACCGTCTGCGCTGGACAAAGGCTCAGCTTGGGATATTCTCTGCGAATCGGTACATGAATGTCAGTATCAGGTAGACATGTAATAAACAGAACATCGTTTCATCAGGGCATGGACTTTGTCGTACATCTAAGATCTTGTAGTTTCTATCATGCACGCACGCGGTGTACCCTTGAACTTGCTCAGCAGTGCTCCTGCAACAAAGCACAACGGGGCATACCCCTCAGGATTTGGTGCTTCTCTGGGTCTTTCATCGCACCGCGCAGCCCTTCCTGGATTCTTTGCGCGCCTGGGCACGGCGTGGAGAGCTGCCGGATGCGGAGTTCGCCAGCGGCAAGCGCCTCCGCCTCCCGACGTTCCTCCAATCCGTGGGTGTGGAGGACTTTGCCCACAAGCTGTCCATCTTGGGTGAGGCCCCAATCAGCCCCAGAACGGACCGCAAGGTGACCCTGGATGCCTTCTTCACCACAGCGGAGCAGGAGCAGCGAGCTTTCCTTGGCCGTGGCAGTGAGAAGGCTCCGGTCATGCCCAGCGGATCAGATTCTTGTCTTGCCGTCCTGGTGTCTGCCGAAGACTTCAGAGCCGCGTCCCATCAGCCCGAGCCAGCGCCGAGGCGGGTGCCCTATGGACCTTTGCGCACCGCCCTCTTCGCCGCCCCGGCGCAAAACGCGCGGGAGGCGAACGCGGCCAACGACGCACGACGGGCCAAAGAGGCGGCATGGGCAGCAGAGGCGCAGGGTGAAAAGGCCCGGCGCCAGCTGGCCTACCGCCAAGCCCTAGACGAGCAGGTGCTGGAGAAGAGCTCCGCTTCGCAAGCACTGAAGCGGTCTGAGGTCGAGGCGGCCGCGCGGGAGCGCCCGCTCCTGGACGTGGAGGACCGGCTTCTGCAGGCGGAGCGCCACAAGCTGGAAGCGGAGCATTTGGAGCGGCAGAGGCAGACGGAGCAGGAGGCCCTGCTGCTGCGGTGGAAGTTGGAGCGCTTGAAGCTGGCGCCAAAGTTGCGGCAGGTCTTTGCCAAAGAAGCCGAGGCCTTCGACCGCTACTTGCGCGGCTTCGCTCCGAACCTAGAGCAACCCGTCGGGGGACCGGCTCGGCGGCTTGAGGTGCCGCGCATGTGGGGGCCGGTGGTCAACCCCTTTGATCGCACCTCGGCCATCCAGGACACCCCAATGAGCCAGGTAGGAGCAGCTGGTTCTGCTGCGAGTGCGGAGCTGCTGGACCAAGAACTTCAGTTGGTACGGCAGGTGCTACGTGGGGTTTACAGCGCCTGTGCCCAACCAGAAAGGAGACAGGACCGGTTTGATGGTTCGAAGCCGAGCGCACAACTGTTCGCCTGTTTGCTTTCCATCAACAGACCATGGACTTCTGAACTGGGCATTGAAGTGATCCAAAGAAGCCCATATTTGGAACGCTGGTTTGATTTCACCCATCTGACCTATGGCCATCCGCTGGAATTTAGCCTGCGAGGCGCCAGTGCGCCTCGAACTCGAACCCCCTGACTCCCCGGACTCGGCGGACTCAGCGGACTCCGACGCGGCCAGAGCCTCGACGGCCGCGGCGGCGCCGCCGCGGCCTTTGCAGTTGGAGGTGGACAGCTTTGCGCGAGCCTCAGCGCGGAATGCGGAACTTGAAGCGGCATGTTTAGTTGCATTTGGTTTGTAGCAAAGCCAGTTAGGCAACACACTTGCGGTTGAGCTTATGTTGGTCACGGCTTCTCTACAGTCGTGCGTATGTGCAGATGTCATGATTGGATATATGTGCTTTGTAGCTTGTCTACACGACTGTGGCTAGGAAGCCACGTGTTTCCAGACCATCTCAAGCTCTGACAGTCTATTCATTTCTTTCCATCCGACAAGCAATCGACTGTCAGTGCGCTTTTGTTTGATATGTCCTCACAACATGTACATACGACATATACATATATATATATATATATACAAATATATATATATATATATGTCTGTTTGTCTCCTCATCATGAGGTGGGGCTTGTTGCGTCTCGCGGAGTGTCCCGGTCGCCAGGCGGAGGGTCGGCCGGCGCTGGGCCAAAAGGCGCCCTACAGCCGCGCCATCTCGGAGGACGCCGCGGCGGCCGCGCGGGGCGCCGTGCCGCTGGACGCCAGCCTGGAGCGCCGCCCTCGGAGCGGAGGCGGAGGTCGGGGGGGGGGGGGGGGACCCTGCGCCGCCTTGGAGGGGTCTCAAAAAAGGCGCAGCTTGCGGACGCCCAGAGGTGATACCCCCAAGAGTGGGCTCTACAGTTGTAGCCTTTCAGGAGAGAAGCCAGAATCATGTTGACGACGGATACATTCACTCAGGGATCCTCTTTCAAACAAGAGAAACCGATGAATCAAGGGGTCTCGTTAAAAATGTCCCTTAAGGGAGAATCGCTTTTCATTGGAACCTCTCGGGATAAGTGGAAGGTTTTTGTGTCTGGGACCCCCATGCACGGACTTTACCACCTGACCAGTTGGTGGGTTGAGATCCCACTACCTGTCAGTGTCAATCCCAGGCAAGACAATTCTTCCGTCCGCTGATGGTTGCTCGTCTAAACCTTCCTCTCAAACCTTTTTGCAGAAGTATACTGGCAAGTGCTTTAAAGACGACATGCCGGCCAAATTGCTGCAAGTTCGCTGAAATAGCACATCTGTTTCTCAGGCCTCTCAGGGTCTCAGGGTGCATGATTTCCTCCAACAAAGCTCATCTCCCCGAGGAATTGCCTCATTCGGCCCCTGCGCCTGCAGTCGCAGTGGTTTGGGGCACCCAGAGCCTGTGAAGGGAGTGAGTTGCTGTCGAGTCCAGAGGTTGCCATTCGGGGAAACTGCACGCCGAGCAAGGCAAGAACCGTTTTGACGGATCTTTGAAGAGCGCATATCTTGTGTCGGAATTGTACATTATTTTTTCAACTTGAGTTTGGCTTCGCGGTCGCTTGTGGTTGCGGAGGTCGTCAATTCAAAGCAGTCACAGAGTTGCAAAGTGTGAGGCTTGATGCGGCCGTTGCCAGGAAGGTGGTCCGAGTCTCAAAGTCTCAGAGGTCTCAGACGTCTTGGCACCTGAAGGGAAAGGCCCCGATGATCCGGTGGGCCTGGTTCACATTGGCCAACCCGGGCGCCGTGTCTGCGGTGAGGTTCTGGAGCTTGGCCTGGCTCGGCGCGTCCAGCTGCCCGGGCCGAAGGTGACTGGGAGAGTTATTTGTATGTGTCCCGGCAGAGGGACCCCTCCAAGCAATTAAGGAGCCGTTGTGAAAGTGATTCAGAGAACGAGACGAGGCTGGTGTAGAAAACAAGCCACACCACAGCAAACTGTCGATTGCCAGCGCTGCCTAGTAACTCTTCATGAATGTTTTTTCAATGTTATCGTTGGATAGTGACACAGGAACGGCTTGACCTAGAACAGCGATTCTGACTGCAAACAATGAGAGCCCCACCAGTCCTTCCTTGTAACTTGTCAATGAGAAGATGCTCGATGGGCCGACCCTTCATCTCTTCGCAGTTGCTGCCCCCAAGCTGGTTCAGAGTCCAGACATTTGGCGAGACATCTCCTCTCCTCTTCTCGGGGATCATTGTTCGATGAACACAGCACGCTCATCGTACATTCCAGTCTCGTATGCGCTTGATGGCTGAAGTCAGCTCATGCAGTGGACATGCTTTTGACCAGAAGGCATTGGTAGCGTATACATTCATGTCCCATGCTGATATTTGCATGCGCTTTGCGCGTTCTCGTACATGTCCTTTGTGCCCTTCCTTATCCTTCACCCTTTGTGCTGATTCCTTTCAATGTCTCGTCGGACTTTGGCCCAGGTTGAGGCGTTACCTCCTTATGGGGGAGCCGCAGCCTCATTCGTATGGCGGTAGAGTCTCCGGTCTCATCTCATTCAGCCTTCCGCAAAGAGGCTGAATCTGAGCAAGATGCTGGATTCAATTTGTTCGACTTACTCTGTTGGATCCGAGGGTCCAATGTTCGTCCTGTGTTGACATGGGTAGCAGCCACCAACTGCAGCATCCAAGTGGGGCTTACAAGGCTGCAAGACAGGAGTCAAGAGCCCATGTCGGGCGTGACCGGTCGGAACCTATCCCAAGACCCAGGTCTCGGCTGCTGGAGCCTTTCCTCACGGAGGCGGGGGGTTGTGCTTCTTTCCCCTGGAAGCAGCGGCCTTGAAAAGAATCACTTTGGAGCAAAAGGTGTTGCTTCTTTAGTGGAGCGAACCAATTGTGGCCATCCCCGCCACCAAGCATGCTGGCAACCCTCAAAAGTGCAAGGGGTTAGAAGTGGACAGACTCATACTGAGGGCATCCGCCATACTGAGGCGATCCTGCGCTATGCCACCCTCCGGGGTGAGGAGGCAGGGCTTTTGACAGGCCTATGCTTGTTGGGCCAAGGGTCACTTTGGGGTTCAGAACAAATATCGAGGGCACGAGCATGCCGAGTTCACCAGGATGTTCTCCCATGATGGTCTGTCGGGCCTACTGTCCCCTGGATATTTCCAATAGCCACCAGGACCAGGAACTGGAAAACACGCCTTGTTCAAGGCAACTACCCCCCCCTCCCCGGACTCAGCCTTCGCAGCGATTCCCGCAGGCCAGCAACGCCGAGGCTGCCGGCGGCCTCAGGACTCGAATGGCGATGGCAAGGCTTCACCGAAATATGGATCGCAGGTGTTGGTCCATGGTGTCAGTTACCAGGGCAAACTGTTTTGGCTAATTGCTCAGTTTTGAGCCAGCCAACATTCATGCAATCGCGTAGATTATTGTCGATGTAGGTCTCCATGCTCTTTTTGTAGCATGGCGAAGGAGGGTATATCAAGTGTATGATGCCCGCTATAGGTGCCATAGGAACGCTTAAATGCCACCCATGCAGCGATAGTGAAAGACTGCCATAATGTTGCCTCGGCAGCTCCATCAATCGCACCTCTGCTGGAGATTTGATGATTTGGTCAGGCATTTGACTGTTGCCGGCACTTGCGACATACTCGACTCCACGGGTCTGCCCCCGAACGCACTTCAACAGATCGACATCGGGCTGAAGACAACTGAAAGTGAGGCAACCAGTGTCGAGTCTCACGCTCCTCCCCACAAAGCTTGACGCGCGCATCTGAATTGGCGGGACATCAGCGCGTGGTGTGATGACGGAGCGTCGGCTTCTTTCGGCTCAGGTGCTGGACACGCTCTTCCAGTCGCTGGTGCCCCGGCCAACGAAGCCAGAGGAGTGGGGTGAAATTCCTATCCACTTTGGGCAGGCCAGATCATCTGCAGGTTGGGCTTTAGGCGCGACCCCCAGTTTCAAGGCGTAGAGCAGGTGATCCCAACAACCGCAATCGGGTCAGGCAGGTAGCAATTGGCGGGTCAGGACGACCAGTTCCTCAGCAGGGTGACCTTGCACCTGGGTTCCTTGCCCTCGCCTATAGGCGCGGACAGACCGCGGGGAGAGCGTTTCACCGCGTGTTTGCCATTGCCTCGACTGCCGGAAGATCTGAATTGGAAAAATAAAATGGCTGGAGCTTTGCGACTTTTCTCTGCGGCGCTGCCACATCAGCAGCGTTTAATAATAGCTAGCCACCTTGTTGATTGCTGAGACCTCTTTGTTCAACACAATCGGGGCTAGCCCTGCCGCAGGCTTTACTTAAGTTAGTCCTGGTGTACGTGCTCGCTGGTTCACTGCCAGTCCAATTCGCAGTTCTGCGAATGCTGGTCCTGGGAACAATCCTTTTTCTTGATGAGGCAGTACAGTATTTCAGGGTGCCGTGCTGGGTTGATCCTTCGAATGCTGCTTGCTTCATTTTTTTGGAACCAATGCCAAAGTGTGTAGCATTGTTGCACCCAACATTCTCAAACCACAGTTGGTCAGTTGGTGAGCTTTGCGATTTTCGGAGGGTGTGAATTAGGCCAGTTGCGCCTTGGAGCTTTTTTTAATGCTTCTTGGTCTAGCAATTGGCCAACCTCTAGACGTTTCGGCCAGGGCATGGGCCTGTGCGTCTGCTAGATGGCATCAGGCGCTGCGCGCTGGCTCGCCTGCTCGATCTTCTTTTTCCTTTCAACCATTTCACTGTAATTGCCCTTTTGCCCTTTTTCTCTGTGCTTGCTGGCTCGCCTGAGTGCGTGCGTGCTTGCTTTGCTTGGCTTGCTTTGGATTGCTTTGCCTTGCTTTGCTTTACGATGCTTTGCTTGGCTTGCTTTGCTTTGCTGGATTTTGCTTTGCTTCGCATTGCTTTGCGTGCTTGATTTATTGCTTGATTGATTGTTTTGATTGATTTGATTTGATGTGATTGGATAGGATTGGTTTGATTGATCTGATTTGTTTTGCTTGTTTTGACTTGATTTGATTAGATTGATTGGATTGGATTGATTCAGAATGGATTGGACGTGATTGATTTGATTGATTGCCTGATTGATTCGTTGATTTGATTTGACTGATTTGATTGCTTTGATTGATTGATTTGATTGATTGATTGATTTGATTTGATTGGATTGGATTGGATTGGTTGATTGACTGACGGACTGGCTGATTGATTGATTGATTGAATTGATTGATTGACTTGATTGATTGATTGATTGATTGATTGATTGATTGATTGATTGATTGATTGATTGATTGATTGATTGATTGATTGATTGATTGATTGACTCATTGATTGATTGATTGATTGACTTGATTTGTTTTGATTTGATTGATTGATTTGATTTGAGTTGATTTGATTTGATTTGATTGATTGCTTGATTGCTTGATTGATTGATTGATTGATTGATTGATTGATTGATGGATTTGATTTGATTTGATTTGATTTGATTGGTTGGTTGATTGGTTTGTTGGTTGATTGATTGATTGATGGATGGATTGATTGATTGGTTGACTGATTGCTTGATTGCTTGGTTGGTTGATTGGTTGATTGCTTGATTGATTGCTTGATTGATTGATTGATTGATTGATTGATTGATTGATTGATTGATTGATTGATTGATTGATTGCTTGATTGCTTGATTGTTTCATTGGTTGATTGGTTGATTGATTGATTGCTTTGATTGGTTGATTGGTTGATTGGTTGATTGGTTGATTGGTTGATTGGTTGATTGGTTGATTTGTTGATTGGTTGATTGGTTGATTGGTTGATTGGTTGATTGCTTGCTTGCTTGCTTGCTTGCTTGCTTGCTTGCTTGCTTGCTTGCTTGCTTGCTTTGTTCTCGTTTTTTGCCCCGGCCTGGCCCTTGTCAGGGCGGGACCGATCAGGGGAGGCCCAGATGCTTGTTTCCTTAGGTGGTACGGGATTAGCTTGAACAAGTGTGGTGCAATCGACTGGAAGGGGGGGAGCCAAGTCGAGTCATCATCACAAGCTTGGATTTCTGTGGGGGCTCAAATCCCGTGCTTGAAGGGTCATGCAGAGTTCCAGCATGACAATTCACTCAGGCCCTTGTTGCATCATAGTTTGTCCGTGGTTTGTGTTGTAGCCAGGACCGACGTTTTGACCAAGGTCCGATTGAGCCCACAAAAGGCGAGCCTTGTCAGGTTCAGCCTTCAGCTGGACTTTCCCATGAGCCTCTTCTTTGACCGCCTGATGCCGCAGTATTCCAGGCGTGGAACGCAGAGAGCGCAGGAGGTTTCCTGGTTTTGAGACACCCACATGGCGCCGATGGCATTGCCTGGCTGCCAAGTGATGTCATTCTACTCATGCAAGCCTGGGGTGGAGGTGGCCCCATGCATGCACTAATTGGGATTGTCAGGAGTCCGTTTTGGACGTACCTAACTGATGCTGCCTTCTGCACATGAGTTCAACGTCGACTGTCAACTCAAGAGTGCTTTTCGCTTGCACACGCGTGTTTCAGAACCCCGCCCCTCCTTCTCGTAGGGGCTTCTGAGGGTCTGGCAGTCTGGCAGCCTTGTTTGCAGCCCACGTGGCAGTTTTGCATTTCTCGGGTGCACCTGTCGTTCCATTGGCTCATGTGGCCTGCCGGGCCCTGGCCACGATGGCCATGGCAGGCTCTTCCGCATCATCGCGCTGGTGAATCACACGCTGGAGTGCCTGAAGCGCAGCTGGCCGGCGCCCTCGTGGGACGTATGCAGTTGACCCCGGCTTTTTGCGGGGGTCATTCATTCATTGGCACCTGCAATTAGTGGATACAGCATGTGAAGCGTTGGAATTGACTGGGAATCGCAACTGCAGCTTGGCTTGTGAGATGTCACTGCCTCTACCTGGCGAGGTTGTTCCTGGCCAGCTACGGGAAGATGTCTTCAGGAGCCCTGCGATTTCTTTGAACACGTGAGTTGAACATGCCGCTGCTACATGGAAAAGAGTAGGATTCACAACACTCAGCAGTTTACATGACTAATGATTCGCCCAATCAGGACTTCACGTACAGTCTTTTTCAGACCGTTGCAGGCCTCCAGCATGTGTTTGCCCGTTTCAGGAGCTTTTGCAGGTCTGCCGGGATCTCGGCTTGACGGCTTCAAGGGAGTCGATAGGGACTGTCAGCCGTACGGTATGTTTGGAAATTGGAGTCAGGCTATGTCAATTGTCCGCACGGTATGTTGGAAAGCACTTTTGGCTTGACAAGAAACAACACCTACATGAATGACCACTGCCACTCAGTAGACTGTACACCAATCGACGTGACTGAATGCAGCGATTGATGGCTGCCACTCCGAAAGGGTTTATAGGTACTTAGCTGGCTGGACGGTCTTGTCGGGGGCCGTTCCAGTGACACACTGCGAGAATTCAGACCGAACGCATTGCATCTCAAGAAAAGTATGCACAGAGGTATGTGATGAAATGCCAGGCGGTGCAAACAAACAGAGAGTAGCTGCCTCACGCCAGCTAGAAATCCGGCGGGATGCTGTCAGTGTTCTCCTACTACTCCAACCGAGACAGCCTCTGTTCCGCTTGTGATGCGCTGTGGGTGAAACGCTGAAACCCTTCAGGCGAGGCATTGCCTCCCTTCGCCACGGTCTTCATCACTTCGCCTCGACGTGCGGGAGCCCAGAACGAAACCTCGCCGTGAGGTCTAACCTCCAAGTCATTGGCAGAAAGACCTTGTGACTCGTGGGATGACCATCTAAGAGCAGGCCACTGGATGGGCAAGTCGCCTAGGAGGCAAACCCGGGGGACGCTATAGTTGATTTGGGGGGACATAGCAGGGTATCCGCTAATCAGGCGGAAAGCCTCCTTTTGTTTACTCCACGCCAACCTTGGTTATCGCAAATACCTTCTCATGCCTCACGGGCAAGACTTCTTAGGCTGCACCGGTACCTTCTGGTGGGAGTGGTGGCAGCTGAATTCGAGCGCTTGGAGAACAAGGCGTGGATTGCCGTTCTCTCTTTGCGACTAGTGAGCTCTCTGCGCCGGAAGCATCCACCGGTCACGCCCTAAACGAGGACAATGCGCGTAGCATCCGAAAGGTACCCATTTGTTGGAACTTTGGAACCCCTTCAACGGGTCACCAAAAGCAAGCAGAGCTAGGCGCCACGTGTTCGACAATAATTTCGCACTTCATCATATCGTGCCCCGAGATCCTCGGAGCGACGTCCCTGGACGAGATCCTGGAGGCGCACCGGAACTGCCTGGGCCGGTGCCTGGCCCAGGGCCTAGGAGAGGTGAAGCTGAGAAGCGTGCGGATGGCGAGGTTTTCAGTGTGGTTCCGAGGTTTTTGCGGGGTCCCCTTTTTGGTTTTGGGAGCTCCCCTACTTGACAGGCCCTTCTGGTTTAGATGGCGACTGAACGTTCCGCGAGCTGAGGCCAAGTCCTTCCTGGATGCTGACTCGCAGGACTTGCCGCGTTTTGGATGGAACCAGAAACGACAACTCGTGGACCAATGGACCAGGATAGAGGTCAGCCAGCTTATAGCCGACTCCCTTGGTGCTGGCACCCCCTGGATTCCGGCCAGGATGCCTTGGCTGCGGTGGTCGGGATCCTGGACCAGGCGAATGCAAGCTCAAGCTTGGCCAGCGGCAACAGAGAGGGCCCGCAAGATCGACCATCCGCGCGTGGCTCCCGCCAGTCCAGTTTCGCCACAAATCGGCGCAGCACCGCACAAATGTGGGATCCATGCCCCAAAGGAGGTTTCCCTTAGCACAGACTCTGTCGCAGGCACTGCAGCTGCAGCACGTCTTGGAGGAGGCTGGCTCATCAGTCCGTGGATGGGTATGAATGGAGAATTGGCGTTTGTTGGACCGATTTGGAGACTGACTGTGTTCGCACTGGGGGGGCGACTTGGATTGTCCGAGCTTGTGGCCAGTGTATATTGTCACCTCGACTGCTCAATCTTGGCCTGCAAGTCGCAAGTTCTTGCCATCAGGCGGATGTGGACGGCGCCTTTCCTGTCTGCTTGGCTGCATTACGGCGCTGAGGTTTTTGAAGCCGGGCTTTTGGCACGGCAAACCCAAGATGCCCTGGCCTCGCTAGGGCAATAGCTCTTCGCAGTGTCTGCCAGCCCCTGAAGGTTCCGCTAGGAAGGATGTTTCAGACTGGTTGCACATTAGGTTGTGCTCTTTCAAACATGTTTTTCGACTTTTACAAGAGCGTCCGAAGGGGCCGGGGGGGGGGGTTGTGATTCAAATCGGTAGGGCAAGCCCATCTTTTGGTGGCGACCGGGATGCAAGCAACCAGAGAAAGTTGGCCACTTTCTTCAGCTCCGATGGTGAGTCTCTGAATGTCTCAAAACTTTGCTCCTTTTTGAATATCGTCCATTTGAAGAGGACAACCATATAGGAATCCACAAGATGCTGGGATTCCCTAAGCAGCTGCATAAGCCACCAGGAAAGCCCGGGTTGAATATGGATTAGAGGCAACCAGGGCTCAGAATGAACGATTGCTGTTAGCCTTTGGGGCCTTTGCCCCGCAGCTGCACAGTTGGGAGGTTTGTGCCAACTGCCGGTGCCATCTCTGATTTTGTTTAAGAGATTCCTGTCCGTATGGTTGCGAGGTTGTCAGTCTCTGCCCCCACCCGAAGATTCGGTTTCCCGATGTCGGTCCACTTGTAGTCACGGATCCGAAGGGTTAATCATCATATACATATTATATTATGAATGATGACGATACACACCATATGTGCATAATTGATTCATGGAAATGCTGAGTATACCTCATGATGATGATGATGATGATGATGAGGAGGAGGAGGAGGAGGAGGAGGAGGAGGAGAGGGGGGAGGAGGATGATGACGACGACCATCACGACGGCAACGACGACCACATTGATGAGGATGACAGCAATGATGGCCACAACAATGAAATCACATGTGTGTATATTTGCTGTTTGTTGTAGTTGAATTTCAAGCCGGTTAACCCAAACTATTTCCTTTTGCGCGAGACTCCAAGGCCCTCAGACTGCGGGCCATTGAGGCGGCCTTCCGAGATCTCAGGCTCGAGTTTGATCCTCACACGGCCTGAGATTACTTGACCAACCCCAGCGTTTGAGATGATGGGTGCAAGTGACGGGCCCAGCACGAATGTGACAGACTCGGACAGCTGTGAAGATCTTTTCCCCAAGAGCTGAAAGCTATGGGGCCTCTGACCAGATAGGCTCTGGGGTTCGGGGCCTTCAAGGAGGTTTCCTCAGGGTTCTTTGTTGTGGATGTCACTTGAGTTGTTTGTTTGCATGTCAAGGCAGCTACTCAGTGGGTCGTACCAAAGTGTTTGCCAACCGTCGGGCAGGAGGAGCCTCAAGGTGTGTCGACCAGACGGAGGCTTATCCAGCGGGATGGGTGCAGTCAGGGCTGGGCATAGAGAAGAATGCATTGGTGGCGCAGTGCGGCCCGAATAACCGACGGCTTCCGGGAGCTCATGCGATTCTTTGTGTTTTACTCTTGAGCCCAGTTCGTCTCCGTGCGTCCAAGGGTCACGCCTGAAGTTGTTGCCTGCTGTAGGCGCTGGGCTTGGCTCGGCCACAACGCTTTCGGTTGCTTTATATGGTTTTATAGTGACGGAGCTTGGCAGAAAGTTCTCGCAGGCATCGAGTTCCATGTGGCCGAAGAGGACTGACATGTGCATGTTTGATTTTTCCGTGCCAAGAGCGCTGATTTTCCTTGGGCGACTCCACACATCCCTCCAGGACTTCTTTGAGGCGTGGCTGCTCTGCTGGCGGGAGCCTGTGGACTTCTTGTGTCGCCGGAAGATTTGGTGCGGCAAACGGCTTGGTTGACGAATCGAGGTTCACAAGAACTCTGACAGGAGAGGCTTGTAAGGATGCTAGCTGAGGTCGCGCCATTGCGACCAAGAGTGGCCAGGGGAAAAAGAGCGGTTGCAGCAAGTGAGTAAGTCACCCAGGAAGACAGGTGCTGTAAGCATTGAATGCAATCTTGGAACCCGAGCACCCGAGCACCATTGTTTCAGCGGACTCTCCCTTTGGGAGGCAACGTTGTGACCTTACATGACGGCTTTGTTGCAACAGCGTGTTCTTATCACTACTAGTAGTGTCGGCGGCAGTTACTCAACACCATTATGGCATGACTGCTTCGCATCGGAGAGTTGCTCACGACTTCTTGAGCTGACACGTTCATTCCGCTGATGATAAGATGCAGTCACAGCGACTGAAACTGAAACTTCAACCTACATGCGCGACGCAAGGTGTTCTCTCTCTTGATCAACAAGTATACATGCACATTGTACGGGCTGCTTGACAAGTAGGAACATGGCACATAGTATGGAGCAAGCTGCTTTGGATTGAGGGCTTGTATGCTAATATCATTGAGAAGCAGAACTTATAATATTGACCGTGGCTCGTTGTTTAAGGGTTCGAGGTTACATTTTGAGATAGCGTGCTCGAGGAACCCGCTTCCTTCTTAGTTTTGTAAAGGTTGTATGTGACATGGTCAGGTTTCCCCTTTCCTTGGATCTTGCAGGGATGGTCATCCACCTGTTAATAAGGGTCCTTCATGACCATTACAATGATTCCTGTCAGGGGAATCATGGCCGTATTCGCCACTTTGAATGTCCCTTTGCAAAGCATAATGGTTGGATCAAATGGGGAGGGACAATGGAGGATTTGCACGCTTTCAGATACTGCATGCAATGGATGAAACTCGACAATAGCACTGAAGGGCAGCTACTTTGCGGTGCTGACATGCCTTTTCTTGCGCGTATGAGAGCTTCTGGTAACACAATTAGGGATGCCTCTTGGAAACTCAGACTTGTTTGGACAAAGCTCGCAGAGCTTGTCAGTAGTGGCTATGATGGTGCGCTGGAGTCAGACGAGGGTGGCAGGAAGCAAGTCTTTTCTGGGTATCCGGCTGTTACTATGATGCAAAAGGGGTGGAGGCTTGGATATTCTTCTGTGCTTCCTAGTGCACTTAGAGGGCTTCACGAAATGCATCAGGACGCGTCGAACACAGGGGAACAACAAAACATGTATATCTGCGGTGACTCAGCCCCTGCGCAGCTGCGGACAAAGTGCTGGACATGCCGTCTGATGTGCCGCCGATCCCCAAGGCGGGAAGCCAAGAGGCAAGTGCCAGACCTCAAGGTTGTTCTATCGCTTTCCGCGGAAACACGCGACATTTGTGGTGCTGAGGTCTTAGGCGTTCGTTTGGGGATTGTGATTGCGCCATAGCTTGGGAATCTGACGTGGTGACCGCTTTTTTCTCACCTGCAATCCCTTTTCCACAATCTTTATGGAGGCTTGCTTGATGGACACGTAGAACGGCCAGGTGTGCTCTTGACGTGTCCGTTCGTACGTTGCCTTTTTGGTTGCTTCTTGAAGAGCCATTCCTGGCGCGTGCCATTTATGCTGGTTCAAGTCCTTGCTGTTTGGTGCAGTGTCCTTCTCGAGAATGTGAGGTTGAGTAGTGGTTGTGCATCATGTCACTGGTTTGCAGTGGAACTGTGTTGTGAGCAGGATCTTAGCCGCAATTTCGGACAACGGCGAAGTGGCGGCTTCGCTTACTGTGTCTTGCGAGCCTGTTTCCAACTCAATTTGTTGCCGCTCGTTTGGGAGTGTCCAGCCCTGAAGAGTGGCAAGACAGCCAATCCCCAGTTCTCGAAGTCGACCAAACTCATGCTTCCGTTCTCTGCAACTAGAATGCTGCGCGCAGTCAAACCAGAAGGCTTTGTAGACAATCGAGAGCCATGACCCCAGTCAGGCGATCCCTCCCAAGCCCAAGGGGCTGCTGGGAAAGCTGGGGGAGCCCGCCTTAGATACCGGAGGGAGATGGGAATCTGCAGGCCGTGCCTTTTTTGGGGGAGAGGCTCCAAAATGGAGGTTTTCCTTCCCTTTAAAACCAACCACACGGGGTATTCTGTTTCCAGCATGTTTTTGTATTGAGCCGGCACCACCCTGCTTAGGCTTTAGGCGCAATGTGTTTGATGCAGCTACATGAGGTTCGGTTCGGGGACAGTGGCAGTCATTTTGATGCCTTTCCACATTTTGGCGTTGAACCAAGAGCGCCGTAGAGCCGTGGAGCAGGAGCAGATTAAACTCAGGAGGCTAAGCATCCCATTTTTGCTTCAGATGGATTGATGAATCACTTTCTCGAGCAGCATTTGCTGCCGGCTGTTCGCAAGAAGCGGCCTTCAGGCCTTTGACACGTTTGGCTGGCTCGGTATCGGAATCTTTGATTTGACACATGGGAATGTGTCAGTGCTGGAGCCCGCTCCAGATGGTTGTTTTTATGTTTTCCAGCCAAATCTGTGCCCATCAAGGGCTCCGTAGTTTTGACATCATTTTTTTGTCTTGCGTTTTTTTGAGGAGACCGCTCTTGGTGGCATTGAGCTTGAAGAATTGCCTTTCAGTTCCTGGCAGGCGTTCCCTTTAGGTTCCATTCTGGGTCCCTGGCAAGCTCGGCTGAGGGCATGGCCAAGGACATGGCGATGAGCGTCGGGACCTGAGGTTTCGATTCGTCGGCTCGATGCTTCGAAGTTGAGGCCGTCTCGGAGTTCTTTGGTCTGGCGCTTGGGATGGCGTGACTGGGGCGCGGAAATGCTTGGATGTCCGGCGTTTGTGCTGGCGTTGTTTCTATCCCAACGTGCCAATCTTGTCGACTTGAACAGACTGGACGTGCAAAAAGCAAGATGCACCATGCATCATGAGACTGTGGCAGTTTGCATGAGGCATGTGTTACCTTCCCGCAGGAAGTGCGGGCGGCAAGGGCGACCCGGATCTTCCAAGGCAGATCTAGGGTGCCCGTGCTTCGGCAACGCTTGTGTTTGCTGCGATGTTGCTGCGGATGAGTTGACTTTTTGGGATTTTATGCAGGTGGATGGCTTTAATTGCTGCTGCATCTTATGCATATATCAGCAGATTCTGCTGTTCGGTCAGCATCGCCTCGAGCGAACTGGGGAAGAGCAAGGCTTAGTGCGCATATCCCACCTGTGTTTGAGCCGGCGATGATTCTGGGCTACCATGCAGCACCTTCAATGTGAATCCTGTAGGTGAACATCATCAAGCATGTGGATGCCAAACATTGGCATATTGAAGCGTCCCTGTATTTTTACTGGCGTTTGAGGGAACGGGGGGGGGGGGTGGATGGATGTTCTGAAGGCAATGCGCAGAGCTTTATGGCCTCTTCGATCGCAAGAACATCATGGACCTGGGTGGTCTGGGGCTGGCGGGGATGTGGCCCAGACAAGTTGAAAGCTTGCTGCGACTACTAGCTTATCAACTTCTGGGTATTTAATTTCAAGAGTTGGAGTATCAGGGCAGAAGCAGCTTCTGCTCATTTCTGTTGTGAGCTGTATCGTGATTCTTTGGGAGGGCTGTCTGACAATGCGACACAAGCTTTCGTGGCGTGAGGCTGCCCATAAGCAGAATCGGTCGCAAGCTGACTGAAAGAGATAGCAAACAAACCGGCAAATGGTTTCACAGCAAAGCCACACAGACACGCCACAGAAAGCCGCTTGTCACCAAGAGGATGCCTGTCCATTGACCGCGGTCCAGGAAGCGCCAACGGACTCGTTGCTGCGGGTCAATATGGGCGTGGACCGCAGGGCTTGACCATTGCCGGTGGGGTGAATTGGATACGTGTCCAAACGACCCAGGGTCCGTGAGGAAGCGCATGTAGTATACCCTAGAAAACCCAAAACCTGAACCCTAAGAAACCAAAACCGTGGAAACACTAAACCCGCCCGAAGCTTAAACCCTAAAAACCCAACACCTAAACCCTAAAAACCCTAAACTTTAAACTTAAACCAGAAAAACCCGAAACCTAAACCCTAAAGCCCCTAAGCCTAACCCCTAACAGCCCTAAACCCTAAACTTTTTACCCTAAAAACCCTAAACCGAAACCCTCAAACACCTAAACCGTGGAAACCCCAAACCCGACAAAAAACCCTAAAGTCCCGAAACCCTAAACCCTGAAAATTCTTAAAACAAAACCAACACCCAAACCCTAAAAGCCCAAAGCCCAAAACCCCAAATTCTAAAAACCCTAGACTCAAAAAAATCGATACCTAAAAAGCCTAAATGTAAACTCTAAACACCCTGAACCTAAACCCAAAAAGCAGTAAAAGCCCTCAACCCTAAACGCCCTCATTTTTCACAAGTCCAACCTCAGTTTGGAACAGTGATTTTTGGCAATGTTGAAAAACGTGGAAACACCGACACATTTGACTTGATGAGAAATGAGTGTACTTGTGAGAATTGAAGAAGCACACGTGAGAGAATTAAGGGCTTCGCCGTCCGTGAGGTCTCCCTTTGTCGGTAGCGTTGGATCACAAGAGGATTCAACCAACACTGCCGCATCTTGTTTCTCAGCAACTCTGGGCCAAAAGATTACCCTGGCCTTGTCAAAAGAACATGGCAGACGGCAGGTGTGGTGAGTGAGACATGTCAGCAACAGAGTCGCGAGGCATTCTTGAGAAGGGGCTGGACAGTCTTTTGGGCTCTGGGCTGGACATGAGTTTGCAGTTTTCCATAGGTCATGTCTGGTTTGGTAAACACATGCCTCATCAGCCATGCCGTATTATCTTATGTACCAACACTTTGCTGTCTGAACATTGGGCAGCTCTCTCCACTTGGGGCAAATCTTTATTTGGGATGCCTGGGCGTCAGGGGCGTAAGGCTCACTTACCAAGGCAAGCCAAAGGGGCTGGCCAGCCTCGAGGATGACAAGGCAGGGACATGATGGGAAGCGCTGGGTGAAAGAAAGGATCTCGCCGGGGTTTGCTGAGAATTGTGTTGGCATGTTTTCGAAGGATCTCACCTCACATTGATGTGAGGATTGGATCATTTCATGAGATGTGGAGAGATAAGAACAAGCACGAGTAATGTGAGGGGGTCTCAACATTTCCAGGGCCCTTCTCTTTGACGCACCGGCAGGCTCCGGGTGGCCTTTTTCTCCAGCACACGGCGTCGCACCAATGGTCCCTGCGCGGTTTGGCGGTTTGTGGGGGGGGAGGTCGTGCTCCCTATATGTGGGGTAGTTGTGTTTGGGGTGTTGGGTTGTGTTTGAATCATTCCAGCCTTCGCGAGCATGTCGAGCCATGGTTGCACTCTTACCTTTACGTACCCTCTTCTCAACTTGCTCATACCTCAAGATGGACCACCCACTATATCGTGAAGTGTTCATATGCCCTTTGAGAAGGCTTATTGAGGACTTCAAGCATTGCTTTCAATCATTGCTTCAAGCGGAGGGATGTGTTGCTTTTGTCTCGCCTCTGACTGGAGATTTGCTCACTGGAAGCTTGAAACCAGGTTTTGTTGTCATCATGAGTTGAGACCACAACAATGCTATGCAGATCTGGTGAAACCAAGCTTGCCCAAACACAATCGCGCTCCTTGCTGATTGAAACTTGAATAAGAGACAACATCAGCAAAGTCCGTGTTTACTTTGTCAGCAACTGTTTCCCTTGCTTTTCGGGGGACTGAAAGGAAGGACATGGGAAAGGCACAGCCCGATCCTGTTGGTTGGTTGTACATGGTTTGACTCATTCCGTCAACCTCTAACGCACCTGTGAATGTGTGTATGTACATGTATATGTATAAGTGGAAGAAGGTGGGTCACATAAATAATACATTTTGTAGACACACCCAAAAACTTGTTCCGAGCAAGACATGGCACGCATATTGCGCTGAAGACTGCGAAGTGGCACTTCTGTGAGCAGACACGTCTCCCGAAGATTCCTCAAAGGAGATCCCGGCTGGCAGGTACCATTGCTTCATCCTGGGCAAGAAGGAGGATGCGCAGCTGCAGCTGGCGGCCTAAGGGAGAGCCGGACACATGGACACATGGACCCCACACGCGAGTCAGCTCGCACCATCGGTTTCTCAGAAGGATCCCACAGCTTCAGCCAGAGTTCACGCCCGGAATCTGGAAACCGGCCCACTTCATTTGGTGGGGCTTTGACTGCAACTTTTTTCTTTTTGCAGACTTAGTGGCTGGTTTTCCGAGGTCAGGTTGGAGGCAACTGTCCCAGTGAGTTTGGCAATCAGGGACAGACAGCAGCCAAATTGTGCGGGCTCCTGTGCCGTAGCCCAACCGGATGAGTCTTTGAGCAGCTGAGCTTTGATGTACTCACTGGTGGTACTTTGCAAACACACAAAGGGATCGCCCCAATGTCACTTCAAGCAAATTGCTGCAACAGCACCCAAGCTGCCACATGTCCATATCCACTCGACTGGGAAAGAGGGAGTGCCCACTTTCGAAACAAAGCCCCGGCCTTGGGCATATGCGGTCAGGTGTGTACCCATGGAGCCAGACAAGAGGCATCAGCGGTCGGGGCGCTGCGGCGCGCAGAAGCCCACGCCTTAGATCAGTTGGGCATTTCGTTCGGCACGCTCGACGCCTTTTGGTTTCTTCGGGCCTTGTGATGACAACGCCGTCGTTTTTGGGCCTTTTGAAGATGGCGACTTCGTTCCTGTCGCGACTTCGTTTGGCGGGAAAACGGGCTGAACCCTTGCTCGGAGAGGCTGAGATGAAGGGTGTGTGTGCGTGACAAAGAAGGTCCCTCGACAAACTGAAATGACAAGTGTCACACAGCCTTTCATCACGTGAGCTGCATCATACAAAAGCTGTTAGCATCGTTGCGCCCGAAGAAGATATCCTTTGCAGTCCTTGAGCTTTGATATCATGTTGAGACGAGGTGTGACTTTGATCGCAACACCTTCAAGACCGAGTGCCTGAAGAGGAAGGGACTGGCACGTTGATTTGCTGAAGGTCCAGCTTGACTCCTGGCACGTGCGCACATGGATCGTAAATCTTCTTGGGCCCTTGAGATCATTGAGGAACGATGTAGTGCAGCGGAATCGGGGCATCGAAGACCCCAAAACCTGCAGTTCTCTCAGGATTGTGGGCATGCTTGGACGCCCGCAATGCGTGTACGTGGGCCATCACATGGAGCTTCACCCCAAGGACATTGGCTGAGCTTGGCAGATGCGCACTCACGCAACATATAATAATATAGATATTGATGGTCAAGAGCGAGAGAGCGGGAGAGAGGGAGAGAGAGAGAGAGAGGAAAACAATGAAACTTTGAGGGCACACCCATGTGTCCCAGTTATGCTGAAGGTCATAGCAGCCAGGGGGTAACAAGCTTCGGAGCGGAGACTTTCCGAGCGCAGGACATCATGGGCAAACCCGTGCCCTACTCTGCGCGCTTCCGAGTTGGCGCTTCGCGCTTCCGAAGGTCGCAGGGTGCCTTGGGCTTCTTCACCGAGGTTTTCATCATGGGCTGTCCGGTGGTTCCGGCCCCGGAGGCCAAGAAGTCAGGCGGGCCGAAGTGAGGTCAACCGAGGACCCCCAATCAAACTGTTTCTGTTGTTAGAATCAGAGGGAATGGCTTTTCTCGAAAAAGTATCTTCGGGTGCGTTGCCTTTGTGCTTCCTTGGGAAAGAGGAGAGCTGGAAACATTGCGCCAGGCCGAGCTGACTGGCTGGCATTCTTGGAGGTGCGAAAAGAGCCTTGAGCAGCTTTCGGGCACTGACCTCCTTTAGTTGATGTGCAGCGGTTTGAGGCGACACGTGGATATTTCGGGGAATCACAATGTGTCTGCCGGTCTGATGTGTGACCATCGCGGGCCTAGAACGGAAATGCGCAGCGCTCCTGTCCGGCTTTGGACGGCTCAAGCATATTGCTCGTCCGGGAGCTCGCCAAAGGCGACTCCCAGGGATGAATAGCATAGCTCAAGTGGATGCCGACTGGCAGCAGCACAGGGTAGATTTTCATTCAGTGAGATCAGGTTGCAGGCTCCATGGTCCGGATCAGTGCAGTACATTTGAGAATGACCCGGTGAACGCCGCCCGCCTTTTTTTTCTCTCCTCCCTAGAGGGACTTGAGATTCGGGCCGCCGTTGGCCCAGCGCTCAGCTTGGCAATTGGTGACTCTACCCCACTGAGGGACCCTGGATATCTGCCCTTGTTCTTGGGGTGCACACGGTCGCACAAGAAAACACCTTGGTAAGTCGTAGCACAAGAGGCCTCTGGACTGCACATGGCTTCATGGACGAAGTGCCCGTGTCAAAGGTTTCAACCTTTGAAGGTAGCCCCTTGGGGAAGCGATCTGCTTTCAGTTGTAGGCGATCCTTTCGGCGCGTACTGTGGGAGGTCCTGTGAGTGATTTGTTTTCACGTGCAGGTTTATTGTAGCTACCAACAGAAACTACAGGACAACCCTTAAACATATCTTGGTATACAACAAAGCAGAGCTGCAGTTGACTCCATGATACTGAACATAGGGCAATTTCCATCGATGTATGAGCAAATGGAGCGATATCGCTCTGTCGGTAGTCGAATGGAGACTTCTCTGCAGGAACCATGTCTCTTCCAACTCTGCAGAGGGTGTGGAGCCCTCCCAAGTTTGGCAACATATCTTTTTGTGGGTCTGGGGAACCTTTAAAGCACGAATCCATCCTGCGGGGTATTGTTTTTCATCGGTCTCCAACTCTATTGCAGAGCATCATACACGTTGCAACCACGGCCGCCGAGTCCTTTATTTACAGCTGGCAGAATGACCACGCTGCTGCCGGCCCGCGCCTCAACTTAACGGAAGCGAGGTCTCCCGGGGCCGAGACAGCTGCAGTTAAAGCTTGCCCAAGTCCAACCAGAGAACTCACTTTGTCGGTTTTCCGATTTTGACAACCATACTACCATTTAGGCCAGGGTCCGGTGGATTCGCTTGTGAACCAAGCGAGTAGACCCAACTTGAGCCAGGACTCCTTCCATGTCGCCTCAGTCGGCCGAAGCCTCGGAGAGAGAAGTGGCGCAGGGACCTGAGCACTGGGATCTGTGCAACAGGCGGGCCTCTTGAGGAGAGGCCTCCGGTTGCTGAAAAGGGCAATGCCCCGTTGGTGGACAGGTCCGGGCAACTGTGTGGGAACAGGAGGTCTCAGTGTTTTGGGGTTCAAGCAACATAGCGGCTCAAGGACGCTCAGTGCAGCAACATCGTCGCACTTGTTTGGATCGGAGCCATGACAGAGGCTGAAGGAGTGATCCGCAACGAGTCGGGCTACATCACCCACACAGGAAAGAAGGACTTCGGTCCTTTGGAGTTCACGGGCAAGATTGGGGGCGGGCTGAGGCTCGACTTGCGCAGGCGGGCGCCCCTGTACATCAGCGACTGGACGGACGCCTTTAAGGCTGAAAATTTCCAGAAGTCCGTGTCCTCCATTCTTTACCTGTTCATAGCAGCGCTGGCCCCGGCCATCACGTTCGGGAGCCGGTTTTTGGACGGCACAAAGGGCCAGTTTGGAGTTCTGGAGATGATCATGTCGTCCGCCATCAGCGGCTGTTTGTTTTCTACCTTTGCAGGGCAGCCTCTATCCATCCTAGGTGCTACTGGCCCGTTCTTGGCGTACACGCTGGTGGTCTATGAAATGGCAGTGGCGGTGGATGTGGAATTCATGCCGTTCTACTTCTGGGTTTGCATGTGGTGTTCGCTCTTCACAATCCTTGTGGCTGTCTTTGACTTCTGTGCCCTGATGAAGCACGTGACCATGTTCAGCGAGGACATCTTTGCTGGCCTGATCAGCCTGATCTTCATCATTGACGGTGTGACGCCCATGATCCGGAACTTCACTGACAATGAAATGACTCTGACCAATGCCATGTTCGAGGCCTTGTTGTTCATCTACACGTTTGGACTTGCCACCTACCTGTCCCATTTCCGGCGCACGCCATGGTTGCTCCGGCCCATCCGCACTTTGATGGCCAACTTCGCCGTGACCATCGCGCTGGTCACCGCGTCTGCGCTGGCCGCCCTCTACTCCAGCGACACGTCGCTGCGGATGCTGACCGTGGACGCGGAGTTTGCCCCAGCCTTGAGCCTGTCAGACGGCAGCAAGCGGCCTTGGATCGTGAACCCTGCAGGCATCGATCGGCCCTTCCCTGCCTGGGCCATTGCCTATGCCATCATCCCCTCCATCGGCTTTGCGGTGCTGGGCTACTTGGACCAGAACTTGACAAGCGTCATTGTGAACCGGCCATCGAACGGGCTGAAGAAGGCTCCCGGCTACCACCTGGATCTCTTTGTGCGGGGCGCTCTGACGCTGCCTGTCTGCGCCGTGCTGGGCCTGCCCCTGTCCGTGGCCTCCACTGTTCCCAGCATCACGCACGTGATCTCGCTGACCACCTACGAGGTGAAGCAGCTCCCAGAGGGCGAGCGCAAGGTGCCCGCCAAGGTGGTCGAGCAGCGCGCGACGAACTTCCTGATCCACGTGCTCATTGGCTGTGCGCTCTTCCTGGCTCCAGTGCTCAAGTTTCTGCCGCGCTCGGTGCTGCAGGGCGTGTTCTTCTACATGGGCATTGCGTCCTTGACTGGCAACAACCTCTTCGACCGCCTCTTCCTTTGGCTGATTTGGGACTCTTCCAAGTACCCGCAGTACCACTACATCCAGAAGCTGCCTATCGGCCGCGTCCACTTGTACACCTTTGTGCAGGTGGTTTGCCTGGCAATCCTGTACGGCCTCAAGGCCATCAAGGAGACCTCCGTGGTATTCCCCTTCTTCATGGCATCCTTGGCTGTTATCCGCAAGGCTTTGAAGTACATGTTCACAGCCGAAGAGCTGCAGCTCTTGGACAGCCTTCCTGAGGAGGAGGATGAAGAGGTTCTCTCCCAGGCCCCCGACCTGCTCAACCTGGATGCGAAAAAGACCCAAGACATCCAGGATGATGGCAAGAAAGAGGCGGAGCCAAATGCAGCCTGAGCTTCGAACAGTCATTCTGGGTCGATATCGGCCTGAACTGCTCTGAATATGTCCCGTAGGCTTTTTGGCGTTTGGGAGCTTTGTTGTTAGTGCTTTCTCAGTTTTGTGTCCAGATTACATGCGCTCGCTCAACAACACTTTGTGTTGGTTTGATTGAATTTCCTGTAGCACCTTGTTTGCATGTGTGTTGCAGCTTGATCCTGACCCATTTTTCGAGCGCTACCCAACCAAGAGCAGGCGTCAGCTGATGCCTCGTGCCGGCCGTGTTGCTCTTGGGGTCTTTGATGCTTGATTGAAGACAAACACCGTCACCATGTTGACATCGACACCTGCAAGCTAGCGCTATCATGCATCGCACGGAGTGCCTTGCATGTGCGAAACACGCGCGCGGGTGAGACTCTCAACCTTTACCTGTATAGTGAGCAAAAGGAGGAGCTCTCAGGTTTTGCAGTCGATTACCCGCCTTTCCCGACAGAATCGTCACTTGCAAGTAAGTGTTGGATAGCGGCCTTTTCATGAAGCATGCCTGTTTTTCTCAGAAGACTTAGTCTACGGCCATAGGCCCAAGTTTCAGAAACTGGCAGTCGGTTGCAGGGGCCGCTTGTAAGGGTCGATGTTTCTTGGTGAACAGTTCCAGGCAACTGTGTGGGAACAGGAGGTCTCAGTTGTTTGGGGTTCAAGCAACATAGCGGCTCAAGGACGCTCAGCGCAGCAACATCGTCGCACTTGTTTGGATCGGAGCCATGACAGAGGCTGAAGGTGATCCGCCTTGATCGGGCTACATCACCCACACAGCCAGAGGGACTTCGGTCCTTTGGGTTCACGGGCAAGATTGGGGGCGGGCTGAAGGGCTCGACTTGCTGGACGGGCGCCCCTGTACATCAGCGACTGGACGGACGCCTTTAGGCTGAAGAATTTCAGAAACCGTGTCCTCCATTCTTTACCTGTTCATAGCGAGGCAGCCTTCGGCCATCACGTTCGGGAGCCGGTTTTTGGACGGCACAAAGGGCCAGTTTGGAGTTCTGGAGATGATCATGTCGTCCGCCATCAGCGGCTGTTTGTTTTCTACCTTTGCAGGGCAGCCTCTATCCATCCTAGGTGCTACTGGCCCGTTCTTGGCGTACACGCTTGTGGTTTATGAAATGGCAGTGGCGGTGGATGTGGAATTCATGCCGTTCTACTTCTGGGTTTGCATGTGGTGTTCGCTCTTCACAATTCTTGTGGCTGTCTTTGACTTGTGTGCCCTGATGAAGCACGTGACCATGTTCAGCGAGGACATCTTTGCTGGCCTGATCAGCCTGATCTTCATCATTGACGGTGTGACGCCCATGATCCGGAACTTCACTGACAAGGAGATGACTCTGACCAATGCCATGTTCGAGGCCTTGCTGTTCAGCTACACGTTTGGACTTGCCACTTACCTGTCCCATTTCCGGCGCACGCCATGGTTGCTCCGGCCCATCCGTACTTTGATGGCCAACTTCGCCGTGACCATCGCGCTGGTCACCGCGTCCGCGCTGGCCGCCCTCTACTCCAGCGACACGTCGCTGCGGATGCTGACCGTGGACGCGGAGTTTGCCCCCGCCTTGAGCCTATCAGACGGCAGCAAGCGGCCTTGGATCGTGAACCCTGCAGGCATCGATCGGCCCTTCCCTGCCTGGGGCATTGCTTATGCCATCATCCCCTCCATCGGCTTTGCGGTGCTGGGCTACTTGGACCAGAACTTGACAAGCGTCATTGTGAACCGTCCATCGAACGGGCTGAAGAAGGCTCCCGGCTACCACCTGGATCTTTTCGTGCGGGGCGCTCTGACGCTGCCTGTCTGCGCCATGCTGGGCCTGCCCCTGTCCGTGGCCTCCACTGTTCCCAGCATTACGCACGTGATCTCGCTGACCACCTACGAGGTGAAGCAGCTCCCAGAGGGCGAGCGCAAGGTGCCCGCCAAGGTGGTCGAGCAGCGCGCGACGAACTTCCTGATCCACGTGCTCATTGGCTGTGCGCTCTTCCTGGCTCCAGTGCTCAAGTTTCTGCCGCGCTCGGTGCTGCAGGGCGTGTTCTTCTACATGGGCATTGCGTCCTTGACTGGCAACAACCTCTTCGACCGCCTCTTCCTTTGGCTGATTTGGGACTCTTCCAAGTACCCTCAGTACCACTACATCCAGAAGCTGCCTATCGGCCGCGTCCACTTGTACACCTTTGTGCAGGTGGTTTGCCTGGCAATCCTGTACGGCCTCAAGGCCATCAAGGAGACCTCCGTGGTATTCCCCTTCTTCATGGCATCCTTGGCTGTTATCCGCAAGGCTTTGAAGTACATGTTCACAGCCGAAGAGCTGCAGCTCTTGGACAGCCTTCCTGAGGAGGAGGATGAAGAGGTTCTCTCCCAGGCCCCCGACCTGCTCAACCTGGATGCGAAAAAGACCCAAGACATCCAGGATGATGGCAAGAAAGAGGCGGAGCCAAATGCAGCCTGAGCTTCCAAGAGAGGGGTACGTCTCAGGTCGATATCGGCCTGAACTGCTCTGAATATGTCCATAGCAATTTTGGCGTTTCGGGAGCTTTGTCCGAAGCGCTTTCTCAGTTTTGTGTCCAGATTACACGCGCTCGCTCAGCAACACTTTGTGTTAGTTTGATTGAATTTCACGTGACACCTTGTTTGAATGTGTGTTGCAGCTTGACCCTGACCCATTTTTCGAGCGCTACCCATTCAAGAGCAGGCGTCAGCTTATGGCTCGTTCCGGCTTTGTTGCTCTTGGGGTCTTTGATGCTTGATTGAAGACAAACACCGTCACCATGTTGACATCGACACCTGCAAGCCAGCGCTATCATGCATCGCACGGAGTGCCTTGCATTTGCGAAACACGCGCGCGATGCCTGCGGGTGAGACTCTCAAACCTTTACCTGTATAGTGAGCAAAAGGAGGAGCTCTCAGGTTGTTGCAATTCATCTCGGGCAGACGAAGGGTTAGTAAGGGGCAGTCCCTGCCAGAAATTGGTGCGGCAGTCAGTCTTTTACTTTCCTTGCATGGATTTAGGTAGGCCATTGTATTACCAGGTGTTGATTGCGAGTAAGTGTTGGAATGTAACCTCTCATGAAGCATGCCTGTTTCTTTCAGAGGACTCAGTAAACGGTGATTTGGCTGTGGGTCAAAAATGGGCATGATTTTTGGATCCCTAGTAAATGGAACCAAGGACTAAAACCTGCGGTTTGCTGGTGCTCTAATTTTGACTCTTGACCCATTTGAGCTGCTGCGAGTTTGTTTCGAATGCGGAAGGACGCGCCCAAACTTCGCGGCCGAGGTGCCCAGGCGGACTCCACGCGGCCCAGCTTCCCAGCGCACTCCTTTGGCACCGGGGCCAGAGAGACAGCGAGGCTGAAGGCGAACCCGCGGGGCTCGTGTCTCGTGTTCTGGTTGCATCTGGGGTCTGTTGCATTGAGGCCGTGGAAGGGTTGAGACACTTTGTTGGGCCATTTTGGTTGCATCCTGTGTGTTTGGTTGAAGCTGCGATCGGACCTTTTCAAACGGAGTCTGGCTGTAATTTCGAAGGGCGACCCGTTTTGGATTTGAGCCAGGTCTTCCTCTCCAACAAGCTGGAGAAATCCAAGGCTGGACCGATTCCGGGCTAGAAAGCAGATCTCCGGCAAAGTCTGCACGCTCGGGAACTTGACGAGGTGGCTCATGCTCTTTATCAAAGGAAGTTTAACAAGAAACTTCCGTCGTACTGGAACTAAATGAGCTAGCTGCTTTGACATATAGCTATGACAGGTAGCTAGCATGACAAATAGATAGCTTTGACATATAGCTAGCTTGACAGATAGATAGCTTTCCAATAGGCTTGCATGACAGATAGATAGCTTTGACATATAGCCAGCTTAACACGTAGATAGCTTTCTCAAGTATAGATTTCGTGGCAGGCGCAGCACTTTCGCAAGCACTCTCTGCGAGCTGGGGGATGGCAAGATGCAGAAAACGTTGGCGCTGTGCGTGAATTGGGCTTCCGGACTGTGCGCAAACCACCTCGGCTGCGACGCTTGTACGGCGGCGGTCTCGGAACGGTCTCGGAACGGTCTCGGAACGGTCTCGGAACGGTCTCGGAACGGGTTCGGAGACGGGCCCATTGGCACGGCCGCGCGAAGGTTTCGCAAGGTTTGAATTGCGTGGCAGGCGCAGCACTTTCGCAAGGTCAAGTATAGATTTCGTGGCAGGCGCAGCACTTTCGCAAGGTCAAGTATCGGTTTCGTGGCAGGCGCAGCACTTTCGCAAGGTGCTGCGTCCACTCTCTGCGAGCTGGGGGATGGCAAGATGCAGAAAACGTTGGCGCTGTGCGTGAATTGGGCTTCCGGACTGTGCGCAAACCACCTCGGCTGCGACGCCTGTACGGAGGCGGTCTCGGAACGGTCTCGGAACGGTCTCGGAACGGTCTCGGAAAGGTCTCGGACGGGGGTTCAGGAGACGGGCCCATTGGCTCGGCACGCGCGAAAAGGTTTCGCAAGGTTTGTATTGCGTGGCAGGCGCAGCACTTTCGCAAGAGTTCAAGTATAGATTTTTCGTGGCAGGCGCAGCACTTTCGCAAGTGTCATGTATCGATTTCTTTTTTTTTTTTTTTAGTTTTTTTTTTTTTTTTTTTTTAGGGCAGGCGCAGACTATCGCAAGGTCTGCGTCCACTCTCTGCGAGCTGGGGGATGGCAAGATGCAAAAAACGTTGGCGCTGTGCGTGAATTGGGCTTCCGGACTGTGCGCAAACCACCTCGTCTGCGACGCCTGTACGGCGGCGGTCTCGGAACGGTCTCGGAACGGTCTCGGAACGGTCTCGGAACTGTCTCGGAACGGGTTCGGAGACGGGCCCATTGGCACGGCCGCGCGAAGGTTTCGCAAGGTTTGAATTGCGTGGCAGGCGCAGCACTTTCGCAAGGTCAAGTATAGATTTCGTGGCAGGCGCAGCACTTCCGCAAGGTCAAGTATAGATTTCGTGGCAGGCGCAGCACTTTCGCAAGCACTCTCTGCGAGCTGGGGGATGGCAAGATGCAGAAAACGTTGGCGCTGTGCGTGAATTGGGCTTCCGGACAGTGCGCAAACCAACTCGGCTGCGACGCCTGTACGGAGGCGGGTGCGGAACGGGTTCGGAACGGTCTCGGAGACGGTCTCGGAACGGTCTCGGAACGGTCTAGGAACGGGTTCGGAGACGGGCCCATTGGCACGGCCGCGCGAAGGTTTCGCAAGGTTTGAATTGCGTGGCAGGCGCAGCACTTTCGCAAGGTCAAGTATAGATTTCGTGGCAGGCGCAGCACTTTCGCAAGGGCAAGTATCGATTTCGTGGCAGGCGCAGCACTTTCGCAAGGTGCTGCGTCCACTCTCTGCGAGCTGGGGGATGGCAAGATGCAGAAAACGTTGGCGCTGTGCGTGAATTGGGCTTCCGGACTGTGCGCAAACCACCTCGGCTGCGACGCCTGCACGGCGGCGGTCTCGGAACGGTCTCGGAACGGTCTCGGAACGGTCTCGGAACGGTCTCGGAACGGTCTCGGAACGGGTTCGGAGACGGGCCCATTGGCACGGCCGCGCGAAGGTTTCGCAAGGTTTGAATTGCGTGGCAGGCGCAGCACTTTCGCAAGGTCAAGTGTAGATTTCGTGACAGGCGCAGCACTTTCGCATGGTCAAGTATAGATTTCGTGGCAGGCGCAGCACTTTCGCAAGCACTCTCTGCGAGCTGGGGGATGGCAAGATGCAGAAAACGTTGGCGCTGTGCGTGAATTGGGCTTCCGGACAGTGCGCAAACCACCTCGGTCGCGACGCCTGTACGGAGGCGGTCTCGGAACGGTCCCGGAACGGTCTCGGAACGGTCTCGGAACGGTCTCGGAACGGTCTCGGAGACGGGACCATTGGCACGGCCGCGCGAAGGTTTCGCAAGGTTTGAATTGCGTGGCAGGCGCAGCACTTTCGCTAGGTCAAGTATAGATTTCGTGGCAGGCGCAGCACTTTCGCAAGGTCAAGTATCGATTTCGTGGCAGGCGCAGCACTTTCGCAAGGTGCTGCGTCCACTCTCTGCGAGCTGGGGACTGGCAAGATGCAGAAAACGTTGGCGCTGTGCGTGAATTGGGCTTCCGGACTGTGCGCAAACCACCTCGGCTGCGACGCCTGTACGGAGGCGGTCTCGGAACGGTCTCGGAACGGTCTCGGAACGGGTTCGGAACGGGTTCGGAACGGGTTCGGAGACGGGCCCATTGGCCCGGCCGCGCGAAGGTTTCGCAAGGTTTGAATTGCGTGGCAGGCGCAGCACTTTCGCAAGGTCAAGTATAGATTTCGTGGCAGGCGCAGCACTTTCGCAAGGTCAAGTATCGATTTCGTGGCAGGCGCAGCACTTTCGCAAGGTGCTGCGTCCACTCTCTGCGAGCTGGGGGATGGCAAGATGCAGAAAACGTTGGCGCTGTGCGTGAATTGGGCTTCCGGACTGTGCGCAAACCACCTCGGCTGCGACGCCTGTACGGAGGCGGTCTCGGAACGGTCTCGGAACGGTCTCGGAACGGTCGGAACGACGGAGACGCCCATTGGCACGGCCGCGCGAAGGTTTCGCAAGGTTTGAGTTGCGTGGCAGGCGCAGCACTTTCGCAAGGTCAAGTGTAGATTTCGTGGCAGGCGCAGCACTTTCCCAAGGTCAAGTGCAGATTTCGTGGCAGGCGCAGCACTTTCGCAAGGTCAAGTATAGATTTCGTGGCAGGCGCAGCACTTTCGCAAGGTGCTGTATCCACACTCTGCGAGCTAGGGGATAGCAAGATGCAGAAAACGTTGGCCCCGTTCGTGAATTCGGCGTTGCGACGCCTGCTCGGCAGAGGGTTCGGGGCGGTCTCGGAACGGTCTCGGCAGAGAGACGGAGAGATCGATATGTTAAAGAAAGAAAGACTTAAAGACAGAAAGACAGGAAGGACGGAAAGAAAGACTGAGAGAAAGAGAGTCAGCGAAAGAGAGAAGCACGACAAGTGCAGGAAGCCGCAGAAAGACACGGGTGTCTTTGATTGCTCAGTCCAAGGCACTCTGCAAGAGTAACTGTCTTTTGGCAGACTTTACGTGGCTCAAATGTAGTTACTTTCGTGACTTGGGCATTTGGCACACCTCACACCTGACCACGCAACTTGTCACACTTTACTCAACCCCACAGTCAGTCAAGCGCTCCAAGGGATGTTGTTTTGTGTTGTTCTGTTTGTGCAGAGAGTCACAGTCTGTAAGCAGTATTAGTGGCGCCCGTGTTTCCCCTCAGGGGGACTTTTTACAGACTACTCAGAAAATCAACAACGCATACGACTTTTTTTCAGAGGTTGGTGCTTCGGCCGGCCGCTTGCGCACCCGCTACTCAGGGCAGCTTGGCGTTTCGGCCGGCTGCTCGCGCCATGGATCGCGATGACAGCAACACTAGTGAGGACCGCTTTCAGGTCCTGTTGACCTACCTGGCGGCAAACGCCGCAGAACTGCGACAGCTGCAGTGCCAAGACATGGCCTCGCTTTTGCGCACTGGCGAGGCCAGGCGAGGCAAGCCGGCCATTCCAGACAGGGCCGCCTTATACCGGTTCCTTCAGAGACAGGGCCACGCTTTTACAGAGGGGCAGAGGGAGGAGCTCCGGGCATGGGAGGCTCGGCTGTGCGTGTCGCCCAAGCAAGCGCAGCCGGAGCTCCAAGATCAGTATGAAAGGTTTCTCGCGCTGCTTGAGAAACGAGCAGATTTTTTTATTAGCTTGCGCAAGGTGTCTTTGAAAGCTTTATTTGAAGTCCACGCAGCGAAGACCGACAAGGAGCTTCGGTTCGGCAAAAACTTCATGCTTCGCTGCTACCCACAGCTTTCACAAGAGCAGAAGGACGAGCTGGCCGAGTGGGAGGCCATGCTTTGTGAGCCTGGCGAGGGCGAGCGCCTGGCGTTTCGGCCGGCGCTGCAGCGACAGCTGGAAAAGTTTATCGCGGTGCTCGAAAATCGAGCTGAGTACTTGCAGAGCTTGCAGAAGCCTTCGCTTAAAGCTTTGTTTGAAGCGCACGCCGTGAAAAATGATCAGGAACTCAAGTTCGGCCAAAATTTCATGCTTCGCTGCTACCCACAGCTTTCGCAGGAGCAGATGGACGAGCTGGCCGAGTGGGAGGCCATGCTTTGTGACGCTGGCTTGGCGGCCGGCGCTGCAGCGACAGCTGGCGAAGTTTATCGCGGTGCTCGAAAATCGAGCTGAGTACTTGCAGAGCTTGCAGAAGCCTTCGCTTAAAGCTTTGTTTGAAGCGCACGCCGTGAAAAATGATAAGGAACTCAAGTTCGGCCAAAATTTCATGCTTCGCTGCTACCCACAGCTTTCGCAGGAGCAGATGGACGAGCTGGCCGAGTGGGAGGCCATGCTTTGTGACGCTGGCGAGGGCGAGCGCTTGGCTTTTCGGCCGGCGCTGCAGCGACAGCTGGCGAAGTTTATCGCGGTGCTCGAAAATCGAGCTGAGTACTTGCAGAGCTTGCAGAAGCCTTCGCTTAAAGCTTTGTTTGAAGCGCACGCCGTGAAAAATGATAAGGAACTCAAGTTCGGCCAAAATTTCATGCTTCGCTGCTACCCACAGCTTTTACAAGAGCAAAAGGACGAGCTGGCCGAGTGGGAGGCCATGCTTTGTGAGC